TACTGTACTACTTTAGCTATTTACTTCGACATTTTATCAATTACTTTTAGCCTAGCCATTATATATGACTAATTGATTTCTTTTAATCCATTTGGCTTATTGCAGCATATTATTTTAACCATTTATCCATTACCTTTGGCTAACTATTTCGACTGTTTATCTTTTAGCTAACTATTTCTATTGTTTGTCTATTACGTTTTGCTATCATGTTCAACTGTTTATCTATTACATTGAGTTAACTGTTTTAATTATCTATCTTTTACCTTTAGCAAACCATTCAAACCTTTAACAATTACCTTTAGCTATCTATTCCAACTGTTTATCCATTACCTTAAGCTAGCTATTTTAGCTAGTTATCAAGTATCCTTAGCTAACTATTTCAACTGTTTATCAATTACATTTAGCTGATTATTTTGAACATTTATTTTAGCTTTCAGCATCATTTTTAATAAACATGATCTTCAAGCTAACAATTTCAAAACTTGAATCTTGTGAATCTTTTCACATAGTCCCAGATGTGTTGCAGTTATCATGGGCTTCCAGCATGAATGTTAATGGCTGAAAATAGTCATTCTTTTTTAAAGTATTGACAAATGTACCAACCCTTTGTCCTTTGCTTAATTATTCTCTTGCTGAAGGTTTTTGAACACTACTTGTGTTCATTTGCATGTATCTCTTGCTCAGTATCTCCCCCTTTCATATTTATTACTCCCATTCTGAAAGCTCAAGGGTGTGCTTCCTTCCTGGTAATCTAATCAATTACTCATTTACTTTAATGATGTAAGACCTGAATAGGTGACTCACAGAAGGCTACAGTAAGGTTTTTTTCCCACCACTTATTTCCTGTGCAGCCCCTGCCTGGTTTGCAAGAAAGACATGCGTTGTTATCCTAACTTACTCGTGATTTACAGCTGCTTATATATCTTTCGTAGTCAACATATTCATCAGTGAAAGTGACATTGCATTATGCTGACTCTCCCTGGGGAATGTTAGCATTAAACGTCATGCTCATGCAGCATCATGATGGCCCAGAGGGTGCTCTGCGGGGGATGAGTGTGTGTGAAAACTTCAATATTAAAGCATTATAAAGAGCAGATTTTTCCATCCGTCCACCCTCATGAAAAATGTACAGCAGCATATTCATTACTTCATTGAGCTAACTGAGTGTGACAAGCGGAGAGCTGCAGCGACCGAGGGCAGGGAGGCACCGCTGCAATAAAGCCCTCGGCCCCTCTCTGAGGACATGGCTACCCCCTCTGCTCAGGGAGCTCCATCTCTGCGTTCTGTTTGGATTTTTCTAAATGGTCGAGGGTGCCCACACACCATGAGAGAGATTTCACTTAAGCCAATTTTCCCTAATATAATACATATTTGTCATTTGGCTCCGATCAATTCACTGCCTTTACGGTGTGATGCATGTGACCCGTGAGCTATGATTTAAGGCCCTCAGGCTATAGATGTGATCATGCATTTTCATCAGTTTACAAGACATATGGCCATATTCCCAGGAGTGGATGCATTAGGGCAATGCACTACAGGCAAAACCATTGGTTTTTTCATGCACTGTCAATTTTCAGAGAATGGGCTTCTTTGCTTCCATTACACTTGTTTTTTCAGACAAGTGGAAAGTAAACATCGTAAAATACACATTAACCAAAATATGTGTATTTTATGAACTCTTACTGCAGTCGTAGATTCCTACTAAATTACACAAAAAATAGCATTAAATAATGCCCAATTTGCATTATTAAACATGCAATTTCAGAAAACTGGTGATACAAATGACTATTTCCTTGAAGTCATTAATCAACCGGGGAGATTTTATGGGGATATCTAATGATTTGTTTACCCTATTGCCTGTAGAAACTCATTTTACAGTACATAATAAGGCAGTTTCCTCTTAATTAGTAACACTTATATTGACCAGAATTTCTGGTTTGATTACAATTTATATTCGGAAGGTTTTGAGCACTTTATAAATTATTAATAGCCTGGCAGAGTTTTTTATCTAACGGCCGTTAACAGTATTTTATGATGGAAAGAGATATCCAAAATGAAAACATTTAACTCTACTATGTCAACAAAATGAAAACAATAATGTTGAAACTGGCTTTATCCAATCATTATAATTTTCTATTTTGACCTTCAGTATATCCCCTTAAGCATTAGAGATGGATTAAGGTCTTTGTTACTGAAAGCATGCATAAAAAGAGATGGCTTTGAACTTTCATATACACGTATCTGCCTAATGCTTGAAATGAAATGAACAATTGCAAACATTAATACCTGTCTGTCATCTGTTCATATGTGTTTAATTCTTGAAGTGCTGATTCCCTATCACAGTTTGTGATATGCTGTCTGTCTGCTTTCTTGAGCGTCCTCTCTCCTCTTAGATGACCCCCTCTCCAGCCATATCTCCTCCCGGCACTGCCTGTCTGATCCCGAGGTGTCATCCTGGGTCACCCGTTGTCTTATTAACAGAAATAATGCCCTGCCCAGAGCAGCATCAGCCCATATTGTCTTCAGCCACAACACTACCATGGTGACTTTGTTTTGATGACCCTCTGTAGCAGCAGCAACAGCAGCAGCAGCAGCAAGTTTCCCTCAGATGAATGCGGCCTGTACAAATTAATGGCTGCTGTACTGTGGCATTGGGCCTAGCACCATGGGCAAAATGTGCGATTTAAATAATCTCTCAGGCTGTGGAGGAGTCTGGAGAATGGCAGACAAGCTGACTAATAACACAGGATTCAGTAACAAGGGTTGCTCTGATGGTAATGACTCCCTGCTCCGGCAATATCTGATTCTCTGCGAAAAACAGTCATCACAGGCGGAGGATGGTATTTAAACCCTGCAACAACAGTAAAACCCCTGAAATAATTGGGATACAACAAAGCATTGGGGGAATAAAAACGTGGTGTATGGAGGAATTTTGATGTAGGAATAATTAATAGTCTCCAAATGTGATAAATCGTGTGGACCTCTGGACCAATATAACCTCATTAGAAATGTATGAAAGTACAATCATCAGGGCTCTCATGAGGCATCAGACTGACGCAACAAATGGTATGTTTTTTCATCTGGAGAGCGGTTTGCAAAAGGAGCGCACATCAGATCTCACAAGTGTCATTTGTGCTCTTCTTTTGTGAAGGAACATTGTGTGGGAGTCAGGCATATTCACCACTCAGTTATCAGAATAACTCTAATTAGGCTATTTTTAACACATCCTTTTAAACAGCTCTTGGGTGTTTACATTTGCTAATGGCAGCCTGAGTGAAAATCATCTATCAGCAAGCATCACCATCATGGCCACTGACACATTAACACTGATCCTCTACCAAGAAATATGGGGGGGAAACCTAGCTAGGTTGCTTACACTTGTGCATTCACCATTTATATGAAGCATGCATCAGTATGTGTGCATATGCTGTATTTTATTTATGTGAAATAGTTACAGTTGCACACTCCGTTTCAGAGAGCCCAAGCAAACTAATTAAAAGGCACCAGGGATGTTTTGCTCCAGTGAATAAAAGACAGCTCTTTCAAGTCAGTGCATTCACCAGATTACACCCTTTGTAAAAAAAAAACACATTTTACATCCGTGTGATTTACATAATTTTCATTTAGTTTACTGTTAACATTAAAAACACAGCTCACATTTGAAGTCAACTAACACCACTTTTGGTTGTTGTTCAGCCTGCAAAAAATAATTTTAATATTCCTTTAGGGACTTAAAGTGTGTCAGAGGTATTCTGCTTTATGGTAACCTTGTTGGGCTATAATGGTGTTTTTAGTCCCATAATGTATCATCATTATTGTGGAGGAAACTTCTGTGTAGTAATGCATGGAGTCACCGACTCAGGAAGGAGACACGGTGAGAGTTGGAGCTTTGATGTCAAACACTGATGGGTTTATTCAGAGTATTCGGCCGGAGGATTCACATCACAAATCAAAGAGTCAGAGGTTCTGACCACACGGTAGAGTTGCCACGTCAATTCTGAAGAACCTCTCTCTATGCTAGACCTTTTAACAGGTTCAGAGAAATCAACATCTCTGAAGGAGTAGACTAAACACTGAATCATCTGCGTCCGACGCTCATGACCTCAAGGATTTCACATCCGAGAGCCCACAAACACCGATAAAGAAGTGCTTCAGTGTTCTCACAACAATTACCCTACGTGCCAGTCAAGTTGACCGGTCTCACACTGGTGACAACAACACATATGGCACCAAGGCCTTTCCTTAAAGGAGATAACATATGTCAGAGTAAAAGGTTAGATATCTAGAAGAATTATTCCTTAACAATTATATTGCAACAGGGACGTGTATTTTTGTTGTAATATTTGTGGATTGTCATTTAATTCAAAAGGGACAGGACAGTCTTATTTTCTGTTGTTACCATCTGAAAAATACAGGCTCTCTTGCTCTATCTAGTGGTGTTTTGGAGGAACAGCTGCTATCTTCTGTTGATATTGGGTTTTTTTTCAAGAAAATAAACTATTCCAAACCCATCACAGGAAGAGATGTATCATTCTCTTGGGTCAGCGCAGTAAACCCTGAGGCGGGCCGAGTCTCCTCATTAACAACATTTCAGTGTAGTTATTTTCCAGGGACAAAAGCCGCCCCGACAAAACCCTTGTTTTTGGTCATTCTGATAAATAAGTAGTTAAAGGTTTGCAAAAATATATCTACTCAGGGGAAACATTATTGTCGTAAATGCTCCCCTGAGGTGAATTAATGGTGTGTGCCCTCCAATACAGATACCATGGGATGTTTATTAGATCTTTGTTCTCCATTATATTGCAGAATAACATGTTCTCACAGTAATGATGTGCTAAGGTATGTGATGAACCACACCTCCACAGCCAGCAGGTCATGTTGCCTCTGTGCATATCAGTAATTTGATCTGAGCAACAAACAAAGACTGTCCCTGGGCGACCGGAGCTCACTGCATCATTATTCCTGACAGCAGTTATACCAAGCACACATCCCGGGCAATAATGACAGCCGTTTTGGATCCCTCCAAGCCGTTCTCTGCAGAGCTGCACGTCATCAGACGGCTGAACTCCAGTCTGGAAACTGCACGGGCAAACTTTCCTAATGCTGGATGTCGCCCCCCTGCTGGGCATGTCAACCTGGCTCCTTTACGAAATGACGTCCCCCTGCTGGATCCTTGCTGCGGTCATCTCAGCGCTGGAGCGGAGGTAGATCTAGGGGTCAAAGGTCGACAGAAATTCATAGTTTTCCAGCATGTGGCCTCTGCACTTCGGGTGCCTCCTGGTCTCAGAGAGAGGGCACAAACAGCTCCAAATGCCTCGGGTGTCTGTGTTGACCTGAGTGAAGACAAGGCCTGGAACTCCAGGAGGATCCCTGATGCCGCCTTTAGAGCCAGACTCAATGGTAAAATAACAGAAGATTAAATATACATTTGCTCCAAATAACACCATTGATATTAATACTTTATCAGTTTATGGCAGGTCAGAATCGGATTGTGTATTTACAGCAGTCAAAGTTGGCTTACCTACAGTAAAACCCCAGGCCCCAAACACTCAGGGGCACAACATAAACTGAAGAATCAGTTAATTGAATAATACATCTAAATGAAAAATGAATTTGCAGCTATTTCATTGTCACAGGAGTCTAGGTGATTATGGGAATGAAAGTAAAAAACTAATTCGGAGATAATGGCCTTTAAAGATTAATGTACAAACATTTTGTGAGACGCAACACGTGAATTACACTACTAACATAATACAAGTTATAGATATCAACATGAAACCTCAAAAGTTGATTTATTGAAACACTTGTATTTTGTATCACAAGTTAAGATAAAATAAGATATACTTGAATAATCCCAAATTGGGAAATGTTTACGTTGCAGCATCATGTACTGTAAAACAAAGTATTCCACATTATTAGAAATAAACAATTGTACAATGTAAACATCTCAAAATAGAAGATAAAACAGTACTAAAAAAGTGAAAATATAAAAGTTGACCATGAAAGTTGTCATGTCTAAAAATGCAGATTAAGGCATTATCTAATCGTAAATACTATCAATGTATTAGAAATCAACAGAAACAAACAAAAAAAGTACATTCATATGCTGGATGTTTCCTTTCCACTAGTCTGAAAGAAGACATGTTATGAAAGCAAAATACCCCTCTTAAAATTGACCAGTGCAAAAAAAAAGAACCCAATGTTTTTGTCTGTAGTGTTTCGCCTTAATAATTTTTCAAATAAAATGCCAAGCATTTTCTGCCTCCAGCTTCTTGAATGTTAAAAGAAGTCTTGCATTCTTTAGTCTTATTTGACAGTATATCTTTTGTACTACTGTTGTTTGGAAAATACGAGCATTTGGAATTGATTACCTTGGGCCTTTGGCAGACATATACTATATATTCATAGACCAAACCATTTTTCAAGTAAGTGGCAGTATAATCAATATTGTTTGCAATCGATCACTTTGATCCCAAAGGGCAATATGTTGTCTGAATGGTATTCATTAAAAACAAGATTTCATCGGACGTTGGGTTATTAATAAAAAACAACAAGGACTTTTTTCTACAAATATATGAATCACAGCCTCTTCGGCCAGTCGCTGACAATCAACCCCTTGATGTCTAACAATGACAAAAATGTACACTTTAAAAAGGGCCTTGAGGTTATATCTGCACTTCTACCTTTACATTGTTTATCGTTTGACTTGATTTAATCTAGTTTTAGCCAGGACCTTAATTGTCCTTCCCATAGTTTGGTTGCATTTTAAAAGTGTTAAATAACATGTTGTGTACAGTGCCCCCTTCTGCTCAATGGACAGCTGCAGTGTTAGTGGAAGGCACATTATTTATAAATGGTAACACAGAGTGACTACTTTCCCGAATAAAATGTATATATTTCCTTTGTTACCTTGGACACTATTTGTTTGTATGTAAGTATTTCGTTTTACTAAAGCAAACATGCTATTTGTTTTTGTGTTGCAGGCTCAAATCAAGCTAATTGATAGCTAACATAGCTCTATGCTAGTTAATAGCTAACGTTTGTTTCTGCCATGTCGTCACTACATTTAAAAAAAAAAAATTGGAGCCTTACATTGAGTCAGTATAACTTTGTGCTATTATTACAGTTTCATATTTGTGTATGTATTAAATAATTCAGGTTTGGCCTTGTATTTACACATGCTAGCTAGCCTGACTGTAGCCTTGACAAGGGCAGTAGGCTATATTTACTATTAGCCTACCTTTTCATATTGTCACAAACCAATTGACACACAACACAGCCTGGGCAGGTAGTAATTAAGAACAGGAGTGACAGAAGGTATCTGTGTCTCTTGGTCTAGAGTCTAGACACAACACTGTCTTATTAAACTGTCATCTGTAGTTTGCTGTTGGCTCATGCCATTGGGGTAATTAAACCTGATTCATTTACAAGTCACAGAAAATGGGAGGAAAGCGAGGTCAATGGGCCATGGAGGATTTTTGCTCCAAGACACCATTGTGGCTGATTTAGCCTTGAGAGAATCTGTTAATAGTTTTAGGGACATTTGTGTGCCTTTTTCCCAACATTTAATAGTCGTCGTGTCATCCAAAGGTTCAAACAATCCTGTTGAAGTTCACCCACGCTCACTGAAGACTAAAGCAGCATCGTTCAGCAGATTCCCTGAAAAAAACACTGGACCTCGGGTAAGTAAGGATACAAGTACAACAGATCTTTATTTTCATTGTTCTTTAGTTTTCCTTTTAACTCTCACTCTTATGAGAAAAATCCCATTAATATATGTATTCAATAGACTCCAAACTAAAGCATGAACTAATGATGGTTCACTTTCTATAATAAAAAAGAAAAATCAGATCAGTGATCAATTAACCACTTCATCATCACAACACAAACACATATTAAGTATGAAAGAGTAGATTTAATAAGCACACCCTTTGGGTCTAATAAAGCGTAGGCAGGTGTTCAATTTGAGAACATAATCATGATTTATTATTTTGTTTCTGAGTCTACAGTACTTCAATCATAATTACCTTGACATAAAATATTCAAGTTTAGGATATGCTTGCAGAGGCTGTAGTGAAGAGTTTAAAGTGTTTTCTTTTTAGTGAGTGGAGGCTTGATTGATGCATTTATGCAGTTTGAGACGTGGGAGGAGAGGGGTTAACACAGTGCTGCTTGTCGATGCACAAACACATCAAATTGTTTGATTAATTCATTTTTATTTAAAAGAGTATATATTGGATTATGTCTTCATTTTGTCTTTTATTGTATATTTAAACCAGTGATTCTCAAGGGGTCTTGAAAAGTTTTCACATTCATTGATTTAAGATATCATAATACAAATATTCTAAACATTTTCTAAACAAATGCAACACATTTTTAAATTGAACATTCGTAAAAGTTAAAAGATTGTATTCTAATCGAACACTGAATCTCCAAATATGTTTTATACATGTCTAATATTTATATAATACATTTCTCTTGTGTTGTTCTTTCACATAACTCGGAGCATAGCTGCGGAGATGTAAAAAGGGACATACATCAGGGTTTTCTCTATCTTGTAATGGGTCCTTTGCTAGCAAAAAGTTGAGGTACTCTGATTTAGATTATATCCTGATTTTGGTCTGATCGTCAGTATATCAATCACTTTGGTCCAGACAAAAATGTTGATGAATTGCCCTTAAATTTGATATTTATCGTTGCCTGACATTCCTGACATAATTTGCTCCTGTGGGTATTGTCCACAGTAATAACTGTTACATGTCTAATATGTGTAATGTGTCATTGTAAAGCGCTTTGAGTGCCTTGAAAAGCGCTCTAAATAAAAATGTAATTCATTATTATTATTATTTGATATTTATGGTTGCCTGACATTCCCCTTCTACTTTCTGTTTAGTGCTAATGTAGACTCTCTGTCTCTTTTTATCTGAATATATCTTGACCTTGATAGTTGTTTACAGTTACTGCAGGGATTTTAATTAAGGGTAATTTGTATGGAGTGGTGTAGGACTCACAGTCATTACAGACCAACAAGTCAGAGTTAATTTACAAGATCATTAGGCTGGTGAATAAGGCATGATACTGTTTATATGACAAACTAATGCTATACTTGCATGAGAATTCAGTTGGAAATTACGTTTTATATACACAGCTTTTTAAACATCTTTATGTCAACTATTTTTTTTATTAAGATATAAAAAAGAAAGAAATAGATGGTAAAAAACCTAAAAATATAAACACAAATATTGACCATTAGGCATCTTGCATCCTAATCTCGCTTGCTGCCTTATTTCCTGAAGAAATATACACTGACAATATAATACAATTCTTATTTTTTTAAGGATGTCTTCTCTAATGATCTGAGACTGCGGACAGACAACTCAGCGGCAGTTCAGCGATTCAGATACACTTCTGCAACACAGAGGTCTGCACACAGCAACCTTTAATGGTCTCCTTTCAATATTAGTAAAGATAAATGAAGCATACATCCTACATTATCCATTATGTATGGTGTCATTTTATCTTGAGGGCTATTAAGAGTGAGTAGGTTTGATTTTGTGATGTCATCAGGGAGCAATGTGTCCTCTTGTCGTGTTAATTGCTGCCCAATGAAATAATGCAGCAAGACTGTAGCCTTAGTTAAGCCTCCGGGAAGAATTGGCTCCCCACTTAATATGCTGTCTAATATACTTTGTGCAATGAAGAGGGCTGTTTAAGTATTTAAATTAAAGCTAATAACTTTTGGGAATCAAACTACTCAATGACAGTCAAGGCCATCCGTTGTGATGTTTAACGGCTGGAATTTTCCGTTCTTTTTCAGGAGTTATGAAGAAGTTGGCTGGGATGCAAAGTTACCCCGGCGCTTGAAGGCACCAGAAACAACTCTGGAAAAAACAGCGGACCCAGTGAGTGAGCGTCCCTCATCGAAGCGATACAACAGTCAACCTCAGCTGTGGCAGGTAAGCCATGGAGAACAAACTACGGTGGCCGAAAACAGCCCAAAACACTTACATTGGGAGAAACACGCTTCACTTTGAAAAATTAGGCAAATATTAAAACCTCAAATGTGCCAAAACACATGCAAAAGAAGAAACATCTTCACATACTTGACAACACCTGCGCAGCATTTAGAAAAACAATCACCAACTTGATGAAACATATGCAGTGTTTACTAAAAGCGCAGCGTAAATGAAACGCTGCAAATACAAATCGCAGCAAAAGTAGCTCAAAACAGAAAATAGGGACAGCAAAAAGTGGGGGGGAGTTATTTACTATCTAGAATAATTGTAAGTATTGACAGTATACAAAACAAACTGTTATAGTCTCTCAAAATGAAAAGCGAGTTTCCTACTAATGAGTAGCCTATAGTTAAATATATATAGAGATTTTTGGGAAAGGTATCGTTAACAGCGGTGCAGCATTTACCGACGTGAACATTGTCACATGTCTGCAGTATATAAGTGTGTTGATGTAGTAAAGTGAACGTGTATATGGTTTAAAGAGCGGAGTCTCTTACTAAAGGTCCCTGATAACTTCTGCTAAAAGATCTCTCCTTGCTGTCTTATCCAAGTCTGTTGGAGCAGAGTGGAACAGGCAGCAGCTTCGATCCAGGAGTGATGCCAAGAAACCAATATCATTGTAAGTTTTTAACAAACAAAGACTCTCTTTCTAAGAGCAGTTACATAAAAGGGATAGTTTGAAGTTGGGTTGAATGAGGTAACATCCATAGTGAGTGTATTTTCTACAGTTTGTAGAAACAGACAGGAGTGCTGTGGATAGGTGGTTTTAGCTTCCCGAAAAAGGCCCTAAATAATACGAGTTGTAGTGTACACTGTAATTATATATTTATCACCACTTTACCTTTCTGTTGTGGCACTTACTGTAGGCTGTTATGTATTGTCTCTTCAAAGCCGGCAGACTCCATTGACAAAAACAGTCATTTTACCTCGCAGAACACGGAAGTTGCTGGCCTGCCGCTGCCTCGATCAATGAAGGATAAGCGTTGACAATCTTCTAAATACAGAGAACACTTCGACTGAAATCGAATTTTCTAGGTGGGCCTTTTTGTTAAGGTAATACAATGACTATGGATAAGTACCTCAAACAACCTAACATCTCCCTCAACTATCCTTTTAATAATGATCACCGGCTTTAAAGCAATACCCCTCCCTCCTTTATTCAGCTGCAGTGGATGTCCGAGATCAGGTCAGATCCCTTTGTACACGTGAGTACATGTTTGAGAGCAAATGACTCACACATATGTTAGCATGAGTTCATGAATCCAATCCATAGTGACCTCAGAGCTGACCTTGGTGATCTTATGTATGTGCAGCGGTACGATCGGCTCTGAGAACATGCATAACATCGACAACATGGACCAACACTTTCTCCCACTGACCCTGAAGAGGAGCGTGGTGCCCCCGTATGTGCCTACAGCACGGTGAGACACACTTTTATGACACACACACTCCTTCGCCGCGCATCTCAAGAGTGCTATTAATTCAGCATGAAATATGTTTTGCACTTGAAATGTTTTTTTATTGCACCCAGGGTGACTAAAGCAGATTCTGGAGCAGCCTCAGCCTTTGAAATTCCTCTCACGCGGTGATGTTCAGCCTCCTGTAACAGATCCTGATAAATAATGTGTAAACTTGTGATTTGTGCCAGCCGAACCACCATCCCTGGATATACAGGCAGGGCTGCGTATGCTAACTCTGCTGAGGCTGCAGTCTCCGTCCCAGCTGTCTCCCGGCCTGCACGCTCCTCTGAGTGAGTCTTCACACTAACTTTTATGAGGCCACTTAGGCAGCAAAATAAGCCATTATCTGACAAGGACTCAAAGCAAGTGCTATTTTATTCATTGCTAGAAATTATTGATCATTCTCATGATATTTTTATGGTTATTTCTTTCTGTTTTGTTGTATTCACTGAGATGTCTTTCTCCCACCACCAGTACATCTACTCAAGTACTGAACTTAAGTACAACTTTGAGGTAATTGTACTTTACCTAAGTATATTCAACTTTATACAAGATTCAAGATTCAAGGCTTTTATTGTCATTCGTACATAGCTACAGTGTAGTTATGTCGATGAAAATCTTAGGTCACAGGCTCCTCCAACAGTGCAACACAATAAAACAGATATAACATATAAAATAATGTAAATACAAATAAAATAGAATAGAAATAGTGCAATAAGAGTCTATATACAAGTGATTGGAATATGATATATTAGATGAATAATTTCTAAGTAGCAGCCAGAAGAATGTTATGGATGTTGTTTCAAAGTTCAGGTGTTTAACAGATATTGCTTGAGCAGTTCAGGTGTTTAATAGTCTTCTGGCCTGTGGGATGAAACTGTCCCTGAGTCTGGTGGTTTTAGTCCGGATGCTGCGGTAGCGCCTGCCAGACGGCAGCAGACAGAACAGTTTGTGGCTGGGGTGATGGGGGTCTTTTATAATCCTGAGGGCTTTCTTCCTGAGCCGCTGGGAGTAAAGATCCTCCATGGATGGCAGCTCCACTTTTTACTCGACTACATTGAGGAAGGCAATAGTGTACTTTTTACTCCACTGCAATTATTTGAAACACGTTAGTTACTTTATAGGTTCAGATTATTTACGAACACAAAATTGAAAGCCACTCATAAATAAACATATTGACATATTATTATAGGTAAGATATAAGATATCCAGCAAGAGTATACAATATAAAGTAATTAAATAAAGCACCTTTATTAGCTTTAATTAACACATTTTAGTATTTTAATATATGTGATTCTGAAAAAAGTACTTTTGCTTTTGAAACGTTAAGTATATTTTGATGCAAATACTTTTGTACTTCTATTTAAGTAAGATTCTAAATGCAGGACTTTGACTTGAGTATTTAAAACATTTGATATGGCCACTTTTAGTCAAATGTTTTATATTTTTTATATGAATACTGCCAACCACTTTATTTTTGCATTGGTGTAAATCATAGCTCACCACTGTCCACTGGAGGGCGCTCTAATGCTCTCCACTGATACCATGCCTCCAGTTATATTCTGGCTGCAGCACACAGATGTGCACACAGATGTGCTCATTCACTACTTTACTGCTATTCATTGGAAATGAAATACAGCTCAGAGTTATCATCGTTGATATCAAGACATCAGAGGGTTAGAAAATGTAGGACAATTTGTTTTCACAGCTTTATTTTTCTTATTCAAAGTACTATATAATGCTTTTTTAGAAGAAAGAATTTCCTTAAATTTCATTTCAGGAGTATACATTTCTTGAGATGTATTTTTATCATTACCCAAAAAGCAGCTTAAGTAGGGCCGCAAGTAAAGATTATTTTCATTAATGAATAAACGAATAGTTGTTAGCACTCTAAAATGTTAGACAATGGTAAAAGATGTTGGTCTGTGTTTTTAAAAGCACAAGATGACGTCCTAATTGTCTTGTTTTGTCCAAAAAACTATGGATAAAGATATTACATTTACTGTCAGGAAGGATTTATAAAAAACACAAGATATTTACATTTAAGAAGCTGGAATCAGAAACATCTGATTTATATTTTGAGTTTTTATTTAAAATTACAGATGAATGGATTATCAAAAAAGTTAGCTGGTAATTTAATATTTGAATATTATCAATATATATTTGCAGTACTAATTTAAAGCATTAATTGGTTGTTTAACAAATCACTAAGAAATCAAGAAAATAACATGTATATTTGTTAATAGACATCTTTTAAGAGAACAGGATAAAATGAGAACGATTTTTAATCCCACTAGCACGATGACTTTTATATTACTATTATTATAATATTTGTTTTTTCTTATTAAGTATTTTAGCTTTTCTTCTTTATATGTATTTGACTGGCATTTCTTTAGGCTTTTGCATCAGCTAAATGTGTATGGTATTGTATTGGATGAGTGGGCCGGTGAGATACAAGTTAATGGTCAGTTTGTAAAGACTACAGTAATTGGAAATGTTCAGCCAGAGATGAAAAAAACAATGGATGTCGTTCCTGAAGACAGACAGGAGGGAAATTGGAAGTCTTGGAAAACTGGGGAGAAAATGACAAGAGGGTTAATTTGAGGGCAAAATAACATTATTGCATAGAGGAGATTTTAAAGCAGATCATGCCATCAAAAGCAACGGAGAATATTTAATTGAAGAAAATGTAACATATTAACAGCAATAACGTCAGTGTACATGAACCAAGTGGAAGCTTTTAACACTCAAACCTCCCTCCGCTCTGGGAGTGTTGCCTGTCTGTTAAGGAGGTGCAACCTGTTTCCTAGTCGGGCCCCAGTTGCGGGAACTTTACCGGCTTTTGGAGCAGGCATCTCCAGATGGCTGGATCCAGAGCAGCTCGTGGTAATCGTGGTTTTTCACAACCTAGATCCATTTTCCTGGTGCTGAGATCTGTTTCCTCTGCTGATTAGGCTGGCCTCCCATATTTTTTCCCCAAAACAGAAAAAAAGACAAGCACTTGGATTGATTAACTGTCTGTTGCAACGGTCAGACGTCCTCAGGATCTCTGCTTGCCAAAGCTCACTCTTACACAAGTGCCTGGTGTTTTTTTAAGTATCAGTGTGTAGCAGCCTTTGGTGTTTATTTGATCTAAATAAATGAGGATTTTCTGACTCAGAATTATGATATTTTCACAGGACAATCACTGACTTGGGGAGTCCTTCTTTTGGCCACGCAGCCCCCCTGTCACGAATGGTGACCGCCACGACCCCCTGCAACCCCTTCCTGAGACCTGCACTTCCTGTCACACACAAGCAGCCGGGGAGGCTTTAGACAAAGGCGATGAGAAAGTTTTGAAGGTGCCTGCTTCCATTTTATGCCATCCAATCTGTTTGTATGAATACGTCTATAATGATGTGATGTCAGTGACTGATTCGGAGAGAGTTGGAGAATAATGAGATGCTCCATTATCATAATTTCCCTGATTTAGATGAGTGGTTTTCTAACTCTGGGTAGTGAGCTCTCGCATTGTCCTCTTAAACATTCGCTCTCTCACTGACTCACTTGCCTGCTCACTGTGTGTGTGTGTGTGTGTGTGTGTGTGTGTGTGTGTGTGTGTGTGTGTGTGTGTGTGTGTGTGTGTGTGTGTGTGTGTGTGTGTGTGTGTGTGTGTGTGTGTGTGTGTGTGTGTGTGTGTGTGTGTGTGTGTGTGTGTCTATCAAGAAGGGCAGAGAAAGGGTCCAAACACAGAAAATATTTAGGGAAGTAAGGATTTGATGCACTAGTGAGATAATTAACAGTATAAAAACCAGGTATAAGAGATGCATTATGAGTCATATTTTTTTATTAACCTAAGATAATTTGCTCAAGAAGTACACATTAAATGCATTCTGTAGTATGAGCTGCACACATCATTTAGAGGCTTTTGCTTCTCTCGATGTGACTGCAATGCAAATGGACATTATTATGAAGTGCCTGCCAGCTATAGCTCTATGTCTGTGGTTTGTGCCGCTTTGCGCTTAGACAGGAAATAGGGAAGAGCTGGTTTTCCTGTCTCTCTTTATCTACATATATGTTGTTTGATTTACATTTCACGAGGATTTCTACTTGTTGGGCGTTAAAGGTTCTGTGATCACCGATGCATCACAAGTCCCATCCACATCGCAACTACATTATCTTATTGTCATTACATTTAAAAAAACATACAGATTTAGGGCTGCATCCAATGATTCACTTCAATGATTTGCTGCATTAATCCATACATGGTATATAAAACGTTAGAAAAAGGGGAAAAAAACATCCATCCCAGTTACTCAAAGTCCTAGGTCATTTCTTGTTTTTGTCGAAAACTCTATTTAATATTATATAATCCACAGAAAAGCAGGAAAATCCACGTTTGAACGGCTAAAAATACAATTATCTGCCATTTTTACATTGAATTACTTTAACAAATAGTGAAATCAAAAAAAGGTGCATGCAGAATATTCTACCAAACACTTTGTCGACTGAATTGAAGCAGCAGAAGCGGAGATATACTGAGTTTTGATCTAGTGTCCTTTTTTAAAACAGTGGAAAGCACCCTTCAGATCTCCAGGAGACATTTTGGAGAGTAGTGTTTGGTCAAGTTGCATTAATAATGTTATCATTACTCATTACGCATTGAGAATGCATTCAATTCGTTTACTTAGTTACTCAAAAGGCACAATTAATGATCTTTATGAATTCGATTTGGTCAAAGATGGCTTAAAATATTTAGAATCCTCTACGCTTCTTGTCTAGTGCCATGTGTAGAAAAACTAAACTAAACATTATTTTAACAAGTCTGCCTTTACGTTTTAGTAATAGCAGTCCTGTCCTCACAGTGAGGCCACAGCCTTCACACGTCCAAAACTCTGAGCGAACAGATGACTCCAAAGGCTAATTGGCAATTTTGCCAAGCCAGCGTAGAATTCTAATTTTAATAAAGTCACTTTTAAGTTACCAGGATTCCCATTTCACCTTTTTTAGATGCCATCTGCCTCCCAACACCTCCACTAACTCAAGCTTACATGGACTTGTCCTTCTCTCCTCAGACAACTGAGAGCAAGCTGATATCAGCCTCCATCAAACTCCTGGTAAGACAGTACAGTCCTAAACTTAAAGAACAGCAGCATCACTGGGTTTAGTAACTGTAATGTAATGACTGAATTCCATTTGCAGTTGTATGAACACAATATACTCTTCCTGCCCCACATTGGTCACAATTTATTTGAACACAATGTCTCATTAATGATCAGTGTAATAAATAATACTGACTAAGATGTATCTGTTCCTTTACAATGCACTATATTTAGAGGGTGCCCTCCTGGTGATTGACGTCCAGTAACCACCAATTAATGTGCTGGACAATCTTCACTTAAAGCCTACATTTAGGAAGCCAGCCTTCAATATGATCCCCCATTATTTAAATGATTGAGGAATTAGCCTTCATTATTGAGGACGTTTGGAGATGTTTTTGACAGTTTGACAGTTTGACATTTTGGAAAATACACTTATTTGCTTTTTTGCCGAGTTAAATGAGAAGATTGACACCGCTCACACACAGGGAAACTGGAAACAGGGAAACGGCTGAAGCAGCTCTGTCAAAAGGTTGAAAAATGTACCTTTCAGCACCTCAAATAAATAAAAAATACTAATGTTGACATCTCCGGATAGCTCTTATCCCAAGACATGGAAATAACATCAATATTTTCCTCCAACTCTCAGCAAAAGAAAACTCATTTCCAAAATGGTTTCTTTAAAATGTTGTATTGTACCTGCGTTTTAATGTTTAGTGTTGTGTTGAAACCATTACAAACTGCATAAACCTCCTTATAGCAACTCTGGTTTCTAAATGCGCCCCCCTCCCCCACCTTCAGATTTTCCAGCCTGTGGTCTGAATCTCATCACCGACTCCTTTTGAAAACAGGCTCACAAACATCATGATTGATTCAGCCCCTATCCTCCAGGATCTCTCAATGCCTGCCTGGGCTGCAGATTAATTTCCTCTCCCTCATCTTAATTTTTACTCATCGCCGCTCCATAAAAAGGCTAAATGTCAAGCATGCCTGACTCCTTCTAGTGACACGTCTATTCCAGCAGATAATTACCATAAGGAAATAGATGCTTTAGTGTGCAGAGGGGGAATTTAATTTACTCTGACATCCTCACAGCATAATGCATTCCTAAAGAAAGAGAGTTTTTCAGTTTGCAATTGACTTTATAGATAAATTGGACTATTTAATGTGATTATCAGTCTTGAACGCCTTTGACTTATTAAGGTGTTGAAACCAATTAAGGGTTACATGCTGCTCGTGCTTCCAAATGTGAAACCGTGAATACTGCTTAAAGATCCATGAAATAAGAAGCAGCCGGAGCCTATTGTTCCGTAGTCGACCGGATACATCGCCTGATGATGTTTTGAGTCTTGCCAGGTAATGATATTAATTACAGCAACACGGCTGGCTTCAGGTTGTGGATTAACCCGGAGGAGCTCAGGGTTATGTTTGATTTGCCGCCGCGGATTACAGCAAGTAGTAAAACCTTAAAGGCTGCAGAATTAAGTCACCTTGAAAAAGCCCTCTGCACAAATCTGCTTCCATTTGAAGGCACATTTGCATACAAATATTGTTAGAGCCAGTCTTTTGTTTTGTAAAAAGGGCCAAATATTGTAAACACTACAATCCCCACACCGCCAGCCTCTAAAGAGACATAGAGATGGGCAACCTGCACTGACAAAACGGAAACGTTGAGTTTAATTAAATGTTATGTCAACAGATTATGTTCAACTTAATATTATTGCTTTCGACTAACCCAATAAAGTTGTGTGACATTTGTTATCATAATTTAATTAATTAATTCAACTCAAGGTTTCAGTTTTTTCAGTGTGTGCCATCGAGACACAGTATTTAACAACAGAATGAAGTGATGTTTCAGATTCAAGATTCAAGGCTTTTATTGTCATTCGTACATAGCTACAGTGTAGTTATGTCGATGAAAATCTTAGGTCTAGGGAATATTAGAAGGTTAGACCTCTACATGTGAGAATACATTGAGGTGATGAATGTGGCATCACCTCGACTGTATGGACTGTGGTTACATTTCCCTAAATGACTGTTTAACTGTAATGAAATGTGTTTTTTATACTAAGTATACATAAAAAGATTGTGTTTACATTAAGTTGCTCCTCTGTTTTGGACACAGGTTGCTTAATGAATTAACAGCTTCATCCCTTTGTATCCATCAAGCCACTTAGACGCCTTACACAGACAGTTCTAACGCGTTATCATTAAGTTATATTATCCTACACAAAAAGACAGTATACGTTTTCTATTCTTTTATTTGAGTTTTGACTCTTTTGTTTTGATTTGAATGACTTGTAAAGGCCTGTTTTTTTTGTTGAATATGTGAAAAGTGTATTATTTATTTTGATTAACCGCGAGTCGCACAATATCAACACATCATCGGGAGCCAAACAAGTGATCAAAACTGTAACTAAAATCAAATAAATGAAAGACGACGCTTTAGAACTGTCTGTTTAAGACATCTAAGTGGATTGTTGGAATCAAAGGAAGGAAGCTGCGACAAATACAAATGAACACATGTTTTGTAGCAGTCGGACGTTAGGATTATGATCAGCAACTCAGCCAGCGGTGAGTATTGATCCCACCTCATTTGTAACTTCTCTAAAACATTCACTGAATCATTGTCCTGACACTGTTTTGCCTCTCAGAGCTACAGTGAGAGAAGCTGCTGTGTCACTGGGAAGAAACGGTATCTCTGAGGCATGGAGCAGCACGGTCACAGTTGGACACCTCTGCGTTCACTGATAGCGCCGAGTCACATTTCAGGCCCAGCATTCCCTCTGTGTGTGGCCTCAGGAGCTGCTCATCCTGCAACGTTTCCACACCTGCAGCTTCAGACCTAGAGAGAGAGGAAGACGTCTGCAGTGAGGCTTTGAGGAAGTCAGCGAGCGTTGCTGCAATGCGCAACATGGCCGTGAAGACACAGCAGGGCCACAGTGCTCCTGCCCAAAGTTCCTCCTTTTGCAACCAACTGCCTGAATGCTGTGTTTCTTAGGAGATAAGGGCAGCCTCCCACGAAAGGTGACTCAGCAATCAAGCACACACAGCCTCTCCTGAGATAAGGGGGCTCCGAGGGGCCTGGGGAGACTGGGAGACTGGGAAAATAACAGTCACAAGCAGAGGAAACAGAAGTACGACAATTACTTTAATATGACTTATCCTTGTAACTTAATCAGCAGTGAATGTCAGCTCTTGAAGGAAAAAGCTCTACTTTAAATAAGCTTTGAGAACATCAGTAATTACATAACCATGTATTCAAATGAGATGATAATGACAGGACATGTCTGAAAATGAGAGGTGAGTTATTTTAGCCAATCCACAGGAGTGACTCATTATTTATTTAGAATTTCCATAAATATTAATCCACAATTTATATTTTCATCACTCCGTGGCTTTAACTTCACGACTACGCGAGAGATTGACACTCGACAATTATGTTAGCATTATAAGAAAATGTAAAAGTAGTTATTTGGCATCTAAAAAGGCCTGCCCTTACATGGTATACGTTCAAAATATCCGCATGGATGGAGGGAGATAAAGTGTTGCCGTTATATGTGCTGCAGATGGTAAGCGTGTGACGGTTTACTCATTACGTTCAATTTTGTGCATCTCAAAGATTCAGATATTTTAATTCAGTAAAAGTAGGAATACCACAGTGTATTAATACTCTTACTCTCTGAAGTAAAAGTCCTGCTTTCAAAATTCTATTATGTAAAATAATTAAATGTGGCAGTAAAGTAGGAGCTTTAAAATAACAACTCTATAAATGTCCAGGTAGCTTGACAATTTTAAAATATATCATTAAATATTATCTGAACCTATAATAATAATACATGATACAATTTTGCTGATTATATTTTGTTATAATAATTAGAACCTGAGTCTTCAAAGTAAATTGTTATCAAATACATGTAGTTGAGTAAAGTACAATATTTTCCTTGAATTGTAGGGACATGTGGAGCAGGACATGGAAGTAGTACTTAAGTAAACTACTTTAAAATGTGAGTAAATCCACTTAGTCACCTCTGCAGTCAAGGAGTTTGGAATGTATATTATTGCCTTTGCAGCCAAACTTAAGCAAAGAGTGGCACAGAGCTCATATTGATGAACGCATCTGAAACTGAGAAATCTCTTCTGGGTTCGGACTCAAAGAGCAAGTGGCAGAGTGTTGGTTTGTAAACTCCTGCACACAAAACCAGAGAGAAACCACATGTCAGTGACTGTAACGCTGCCTGATGCTCTCCTGCAGGACCAGGACAGAAACACAGTGAGGTGCACTGTTTGAGAAAGAAACAATGAAGAAACAATGTGCTGCTCAATTCTGATATAATCCAGATTCTGGACAACCTGTTTTGTGATGAGGCAGGACAGAAGCTTTGACACTGAGGGGGGGAATAACTGGAAAGAAAGTCAAACAGGGGAATCATTAAAGAGAGAAAGAAAACTCATTAAATGGGAAAGAAAACACTTGTGTTAATTTCATGGACTGCTTCAGCGTGCCAGAACAGGTGACAGAAGGGGAGCTGTCCAATATGCAAGTAAGGACCCCCCCACCACCCCCTTCTTTGGTGAGAATGAAATAAATAAACAATGAATGGTCCACTCTCTTCGCGCGCCTCATCCCATCTCATGCATGGCTGCCAGTAATGGTCTACTGGGTGTCAGCTTGTATTGGCACGGCACAAAGCAAGTGCCAAGGGCTCGGAGGATTGACTCCCCGCTGCAGACTCGGCCTGTGGATAAAAGCGAGCAAAATGCCCCAGCAGAGCTCACAGACATAGTCATGTTGGGCTGGAACGAGGAAGTGCAGTGGAGAGGGGAGGGACTCCGGGCGCAGCTCCATGGGGCCGCGGCGCTGCGACCTTCTGCACATGGAGCCGGGGAGAGTTGGAAGAACTTCATACTGCAAACTCAAGGAATAGCAGGTAAAGTGACTTCCACCGCGCCTTTTAGCCCCAGAATAATCTCTAAAAGATAGCTCGACAGTTCCAAATTGGGCTTGTTTCTTCTCAAGAGTTTTAGGAGACATTTTGCACCTGGCTGGAAAAGACTCCTTTAGTTTCGGTGCAGGTGCGCCGCAGCATCTAATCCCGTTCGGTGCGCGTAATACATTCAGGATATGTAACGGATTGGTAAATTAAAGTACTTTAAAATGGAATAAAGAAAGATACATTCACTTTTCCGCGTTTTATGTGACAAAGTAGCCAGTTTTTTTTAAGGAAGTAGTGGAATGTTCCTCATTTTTCCTGTGTGTTTTTCTTTTGGGAACATATGGATAGGCTACATTATTTCACAATCACTTAGATTTATATGAATATACGAATCTATTTTCTAACATTTCCATTTTATTATAAATACATTTGTTTATCATTTAAACCTGTTTTTAGTTTTTGACACTCCTGTTGTAGCACCTGTTGCAACAGATGCGCGCGCCAAGTAAACTTCAGACGGTCTATTTTTCGAAAAACATATTATCATAACAACTAATCTGAAATAACAAGTTTTAAATAAATCGCAACTTTTGTCTGGGGCTAGAAACCAAACCGTCTGTGAAAATATTTTAGCGCCTCTTAAACAGGAAATCAATACGCACAGACTAACGCTTGTGTTTCCTTAAGGTAATAATCCATAAATCTTTAATGTTCTCATACCGTTTAGCTTTGCATTCACCTGTTCGAACCACAGTCTCAGTTGTTGTGTGAAGGCAGGATAAAGACACATATGTAGGCAGGACTGATGAAACTTTTCACACTGAGGAGGAAAGTAGTTCATCAACGCCCAGACAGAAAAACTCCAACATTCACTCTGTGGAGGAATCTTCTTTGTATTTAATATGCTTTTTATTTATTTATACATTTTTGCAAATATGACTGCATTTGCCATTTGCTTCTTGAGTACAATTTATATTTTTCTGAGTTTTTTTTTTATCTAAGGGAAGTTAATAATAATATGTAAATTCCCTCAAGTGGCACTTCAAATCCAATATTTAAGAAAAACAAAAAACTTACCAAAAGTAGTATAAAGGAAGTTATATTTCAAATGTTACATATGTTTAAAACTCGGAAAAGGAACCCCAATTCCTGCACAAATAGGACATTTTCATATCTCAGTTGGAAAGCTGCAAATCTGTCTGCACATACATCATCTTTCTTGTCAGTAGAAACAGAAGTAAGAGAAGGAGAGTGGGGGGGGGGGGGCGGGGGGTTAGAGGCAGGCAGACAGTTATTAAAATGATTGTACTGTCTGAATAGGAGAGTAGTGAAGTGTGTCAGATGCAAATGAAGGAAACTTCTCTTCAGCGCACCTTTGCTCTCCCCTCACCCCCTCGATAGGCTCCCCAGAACACATCCGCTAACACTATCTACCCACTAACACCCATACATTTCATGAATTACTGATGAGAATCTCCATGTGCATATGAACAAAGGTGATCGTGCACCACATTGCTCGGCACTGTAGGATCATCTCTAATCCTAATAGCTGATAAGGAAGCGCCCACAGCTTCATTACTTCTCGTAAAACCCACAGGAGTGAACATTATTCATTCAGATATCTTCATTAATTGTCACTTAGTATGTTTACGTGCAAAGTGGAAACTATGAGTAGGAACTATACGAGAATTATGAATGATAATGTTTGGGAATGTAATCGGTGGGAGGTCAGCATTAAAAAATGTATATTATATTACATACTGATGTATTTAAATGCTGCAACATGTTTTGTTGCCGTCTAAATTGTTATTGTCAGCAACATGTTAAAAAAGGATATTAACCTAAACCGACTTGGCCTTTTATCCAACTTTAATTTGAGGTTTAAGTGTTAATTTTTTTAAATTTAAGATCAATTATACCTCATGATTTTGAATAACATTAAACTTAATTTAATTATAACTTAAACACTCAAGAAATGTATATTTGTTAATTAATTCTCCTTACATTACATATTTTCTCCTTATTGATTTATTTGTGTATCTTTTCTTGAGCGTTGCCTCATATTTACCGTTAAAATGAAATGTGTGTTATGTATGCTCATTTAAACACACACACTGGCGTCTGAGCGTCCTCCCGGGTATCCAGACTTTGGCTGGTGTGGTCCTCAGTATCTGTTAACGGTTTCTCATCTCCACCCTGCTCCCTGGTGCCGCTTTTGCACCTCACTTTGAGCAGACGCCTCTAACTCCACCCCACCCCCACCGCACACACAAACACACACACACAAACACACACACGTACACACACAAACACACACACACAAACACACAGGAGGAAGACCGAGAATTCTGTCAACCCACAAGCCTCTTCCTGCCTCTCCTCACTTGACATATACTCAGACCAAAACTTTTCCAGTCCCCCCCGCGCTATGTGTCAGAAGTATTTTCTTTGACTTCCATTTCACCCGTTAAAAGATTCCACCTGCCCCCAGTTTACACACACACACACACACACTTATCAGAAAGTATGTTTTGTAATAAGAATTAAAACTGTGAAAAATTAAGTAACACTATTTAAATCACAACTGAAGTCAATATGGGAGAAGTTTTTTAAAAAGTTTTTACCGACATGTCTGTAACACTTAACAGGTCAATACAACTGCATATAAATAGCATCAGAGAGTAGCTGCTTCCTGAATATTCTACGTGCACCTTACTTTCCACATGCCTACGCAAGTTGGTTGTGGCTGAATGTAGGAACTCTCTTTTTTATTTCTGCCCCCCCCCCCCCCCCCTCGAAGCCAACACATCCGTGTTTCCCCTCGTACCATCTGCCCAGAAAAAAAGGGCACATGAGAATGTACCCCCCTCCGCCGCCCCCGACCTCCAAACTCCAGATGCTGAAGAAGGCCGCTGCAGAGCCTCAGAGTAACACGCGACACCCCTGTGCTGAACAGCTCTTCTGCACCAGTGACCTTTGCCCTCCTCCCCTCACACTTGCTTCCTGGGCGTCTTCAGAGCTCCTGACTTGACTCCGCAGAATATTGCGTGTTGCGACAGAGCGGCTTCCCACTATTTGTTCCAAATGTGTGGAGCCATCTGTCAGTAAAACAGGAAGGCCTAGGTTCCCCTTCTCCCTTGGGCTTGTTTCGCTATTTTCGGGAGCTTCACTTCTCCCTGAGAGGCTGCTTGGACTGGGCAGCGGCCCCACCAAGGGTTTCTTGAAGTGGCGGAGCCGGGGCTGAGGCTGTCGGGCCCATCTGCTGCAGGCTTGAGGGTCATCCATTATTAATGGGGCCACGAACACTGGTGACTCCTCAGATATTCAGCCCTGGCCGGAGGAACGCTTAAAAAAAAAGAAAAAAAAAGAAATCATAAATAAAGAGAACTTCTCTGTCCTTCGGCCTGCTTTTCTATAATCTTTTTTTTCTCTCTGTGCCATCCTGTTGCTATTACTCTTCCGACTTCTTGCCCTCTCATTGTTATCTACATCTCAGCCTCTATCTATCTCACTGCTCCTCTGTCTTCTCCTTCTCTCCTCTTCTCTCCCTCCCTGTCCTCCCCCTCATTGTTTCTGATTGTGGCTTGCATGCGTCTGTGCCCAGGCCGGGGGCTCAGCGATGCATGCTCAGTAAATTAGAGAGAACACGAGCGACGATCAGCTGGGAACGGCAGACACCCGCATCTCCGTGACCTGGGGCCAGTTAATTTTCTGCTTAATTTTGCGGCAGTCAGTTTGCATTTTTGGATGATTACGTGGCAGGAAATTAACAATAAATAACAAATGTGGTCTGAAAGCCCATTCCCAACCCCGTGCTACCAGCAGGCCACATCAGCCGGAGCAGAGCCACTCTGCGAGCTCAGCCTCTCTGTCAGACTTGTAATGAAAATGTCTGTAATTCTTTGTAATGTAATGTGGGGGACAGTGGTGCGTCTGCGGCGGTGACAAAAGTGATCTTGCTGGGGTGAACCCTTTACTCCACTCGAGCTTCTTATAATGTTGTTTCCTCGCGTGCACTTGATTAAACTAACACACATCTACATCTCCATCTCTCTCCCATTAGAGTACTTGCACCGCATGGAGACGGAGGAGGCGCAGGAAATGGCCCAGATGCCAGGTAAAAGACCGCCTACTGCATGATTGAGCTGTAAAGATCAGAAAGTAGATACAATAGGCCGACAAATAGGCGCTTACAACACCCAGAGGTAATTCTGCGTCTGAATGAGAGCCGTCGAGGGGCCGCGTGGTGAGTGATGGGTGTTTGCTGGTGTGTGTCTCCCCAGGCAGAGACAGCCCCCCCACCAACGAAGCGTCCGAGGAGGCAGAGGAGCCCATGGCTGTCCCTGAGGACCTGTCAGCCGGCTCCACCCACCAGCTGAACAGGGGGGACAAAGGTACGAGGCTCACAAACGCACCTACAGCCACTCTCAACATCCCTGATAATAAAATAAAGGATAAAATAATCTACACTTAAAACACTGAAACTTTGACTTTAATTAAATGTATTATGGTGACAAATGTAGGTAAGTTGAAAGCAATAATATCAAGTTAAAATGCTTCTTTTTTTTAGGTTCAACTTAATATTATTGCTTTCAACTAACCTAAAACAGTTATGAGAAATATCTTGACATAATACAATTAATTAAAGTCAACGTTTCAGTTTTTCAGTGTACATTAAGTTGAGTGTATTCATGAAGCAGCAATTAAAAAGGAGTCAAACCCACTTGTGCATTAATTCCCAAAGCCTCCAGATCAGAGTAAAACAGTTATGTCTGTATCAAAAGCATAATCAATATATAAAAAGCATGTTATAACTTAATCTTGTACATATCCAGTGGGAAATACTTGCCGTTCCAAATCCCTTGGAAAAATTCAATTTAAGCTGCAATGAGACACATTTAGGTCATTGGCAGAAAAAGGTAAAAAAAAAAAATCCCTTTGATCCATGGCATGTCATTAATAAGCCCAATCTTAAGGAATAGCTAATGTGGCTTTGATTTGAGTTTGTGAATATTAAGCCAGGGAATATCATGGTGGAAATAAGGATGAAGCAAGCTATGGGGACTGGCGGCGTATGTTTCTCTCAAGTCTCCTAATATGGGTGGTTTGAAAAAGAAAACAGGAAACGTTCATGGTGGAGTCATCCTTGGTCTTTAGATGCTAATCGGTGCTACATCAGAGCAGAATGAATCAGCTTGAATAAAAGCAGGTATTACCTTTTAAGTATTATTGCTTTGAAGTCCACAATGGCAGGGACCGTCACAGTATTGAAACACAATTAAATTAGTTGAGTTCACATGGTCACAATAATTTAATGAAACATGTAATTAAATATTTACAAAAGATAAGAGGTATAGAAGATAGAGACATCGAAAAGAAGACAAGTTTGAAGTGTGAAATGTGCAAAAAAAAAGCTGCAACTCGGCTCAACTGAAATAGGATGTGTAAGAGTTTCCTAAGAAGAACTTGCCATCAGACAGTTTCAACACTCATGGAGATAAAGAGTTCAGGAACAGGGCCGAGCTCAGAGCGATCAGCGCATCACTACACCACACGGGTCACACACCTGCACACACACACACACACACACACACACACACACACACACACACACACACACACACACACACACACACACACACACACACACACACACACACACACACACACACACACACTCACACTCACACTCACACTCACACACTCACACTCACACGCCTACTCACAAAGGGTTTCTCTATTTGACTTGAGAACTGTTGATCTGTGAGGCGCTGAGCTGAGCACAAGCAGGAATCTTCTGTGCCGCAATGACAAACCATTAAAACTGAGTTAGGGGCCGTTTGTATAGCCTTGTTTTATGTGACTGTGTACATCTCATCTCAGTCAATGTTTATTACAATCTGTCGAAAAAGGGGAATAGTCAGAAAGCAGATGATTTGAATGTCTGACTTTCATGCGGCACAAAGAGAGTAAAGGGCACAGCTGGCGGCGAGTTTGCATGGCTTTATGTCCCATATGTAAGTTTCTGTTAATTCCCTATGACAGTAGGAACACTTCGCATAAGTGTGTGCGAGTCTATATAGGGACAGCGTAAAAGAAGGGAAGTGCAAGTATCTGTTAAATATTCGCATGACTGCCTCTGCGATAAAGCCCAAATGAGTTATAATTATCAGCCAGGATCATGTGCTGCTCAGTTCTCTGTAGTCAAGAAAAAAAAGGCAAAAAAGCAAGTGGGCTATATGTGGGACAAAGGACCTCAAAGTATCGAAAGCTTAAAACCTCAAAACCCAGGTTGCTTCCTGTTGCAAATAAGTCTTTACAGCCCAGGATTGACACTGTTGCTGCGCATTCACATTGCTGCAATCCACACAGATATGACCCCAGCACGAGGAAGGTAAATAGGTCAAAATAGGTAGTCCATATCAGTGTGAGAATTGCTAAAAAAAAACTGTAATGAACTGAAGTGTATTGTGTTGCCTCAGACATATTTAATCACAAGGGGTCAAGATCTCCGTCTCAAGATCTCGTTAAAAAAATTCTCTTTCAGTTTTGGTGATTCATACGAAGCCTTTGCTATTTCAGGGGCATGAGACTAAGAGGGAGACTGAACTGTTTGGTTCCCGAAAACATGGAGGCGAGTTTCTGAAAAAGAAAGTGTGAGGGGGAAAAGGCAGGCAGTTTCTGGTGTTCCTGCACATCGCATTGAGTGTTGCTGGCGTGGTTTAACACATGTGGTTCCACTACTTTGCACAAAGGGTTATTTTCAGGCAGTGAGAGCAGCACCAGTGAGTAACAGGAACCTCAAGCAGGCTTTCCAAGCTGCAGCACTAACACACTTGCTAAGTTGCTTCTGCTATCCACTCTCAAGTCTATATAGTTTTATATATTTGTAAAGAAAAAAAGCATATTTGACTCCACTATTATACCTTTTTTATATATGTCAGTTTCTTTTTCTCAGTCAATGTTTTAGTTCTGCGCGTTAGATCCACATCAGGCTATAATTATTTGTATTGCGACCTGTTTTTTTTGTCTGACCCTTGCTTCCCAAAACGAGCAAATCAGGATGTGTGACCGTGACAAACAAGATAAAAAGTAAAAAGCCTTCTTCCTATTCCCAATTCAGTCACAACTTCCCCATATCCATGAGAAGTGAGTGGCAGCCTTGTGTTCATGGTTCCCTAATGTCTGCTTCAGCTGGATGATAACCTGAGAGTTTAGCTGGTGTATTATATGTCTCAGGAACTGACATCCACAGATAAACATAAAGACTTGTTTGTGCATTGTTCCAACAATTCCAATAAGTCAAATAATACCTTATGTACGGTTTCTTTTGTTGTTGTTGTTATTCCTAGATCAGTACCTTTCCATGTGCAAAGAAATCGCTATGGAATATATATTCTGAACCATACAATAGTCACATAAAGCCTTTTTATATAATTTAAGAACTCCCTGTTGACACTAGTAAAACATTTGGTTACTCATAAAACTGTGGCAACCAGAGGTGATGTGGCTAAAACCATAAAATATATGAAGAGAATTTACGTGGTTTAGCCGCTTATAGTTTTGCTTTCAAGTTCTGTTACTGTATATGCATAATGTAACAAAGCAAATCCCCTACTTACTAAAAAAAAAACCCCTCCTTAAATCACCATTAAAGTGCTTGCCTGACTGAAACACTTTGGTGGTTCAAGTGAGAAATTCATGGTTTACTACATGCAAAGTCTCCAAAAATGAAGACTGACTGCATCGTGCAGGTGCTAATTATTTAATCAATTCAAACAGCAAGTATGCTACATGTCACAGGTGCAAAATGTTGAAAAACCTAGCTTAAATTAATAAACCTTGATAAAGGCTTACAAATTAGATTATAGTAATGGATAGTTTGGTAAAGTGATGAACATATATTTGAAATAGTAAGGTTAAAGTAATTGACACACTATTTAGATATTAGCTAAAAGTCGCGGATACAAAGTGGAAATTGTTCGCAAGAATCATTGATACACTGTTGATAGCTAATAGCTAAAAGTTATGGACATACCCATAGACTGTATATATAAAGGACACACCATTGAAAGCAATGATACACAGTTTACATAGTTAGCTTAAAGTAATGATACACTGTTGAAATAGTTAGCTTAAAGTAATGATACACTGTTGAAATAGTTAGCTTAATGTAATGATACACAGTTTACATAGTTAGCTTAAAGTAATGATACACTGTTGAAATAGTTAGCTTAAAGTAATGATACACTGTTGAAATAGTTAGCTTAATGTAATGATACACTGTTGAAATAGTTAGCTAAAAGTAATGATACACTGTTGAAATAGTTAGCTTAAAGTAATGATACACTGTTGAAATAGTTAGCTTAATGTAATGATACACTGTTGAAATAGTTAGCTAAAAGTAATGATGAAAAAGCGTTAAAATATTTAGCATCAAGTAATGTACAGTATTCACAGTTAAAATTGTCAGCCAAAACTAATGGGTGGTTACATTGTTTAAATGCTTAGCTAAAAGGTATAAACACATGGTTGAAATAGTAAGCCTGAAGTTATGGATGCAAAGTTGAAATAGTTAACATAATATATACTGTAAAAGGTGTTTAGTGGCGAGTAATTAATAAATATAGGTGATAGCCCAAATTATGTTTAAACCGTTCAATTTGCTTCAAATAATTTGAGAATGGTTCAATTAAACGGCAGGGTAAAATAATATATATTTATCTGCTTAACTGACTTGGTTCTAGGTGTAAAACTGAGCATCATGGCAATATCAGTTTCAGAGTTTTGTCTTTTGTCTTCTGAATAGTAATCACATTTTAGAAGCACATGTAGTATGTTTGGTAACAGTTCTGTAGCATAACCCATTGTCAGCTTTTGAACTTCATAAGAACTAGCATCATTTGTATTCAAATTAAAGCCTTTCCTTTCCTTTGCGGATACGGCTGGTGTCTCACTTATCTCATCTTCTTGGCAAAAAATACCAGAGAATTTGTCCTCAGAAATTTCAACAGTCGAACAGATAAGCAGATTGTTTGTCATGCAACTGCAAATAAAAAAAAGAAAGTGGAGATGGACGATCAGATTATGTGACTTTGATCGGAATAGCGATCATAAACAGCTCATGATCCTACGCTGCAATTTCTCACATTTTGCTCCACCTCTCGCTCTCTTTGGGAAACATTTTGTACATTCGGGGATTTATGTTCCCTTGTTGGCTCTCGGTGAAAATGAGACCAAAAAACAAACAACAACCATGTTTCAGTTACAGACTGTTATACAATTCCTTTCCTGTGCTTCCCTTTCTGTCACTTCTCCATAATTCTTGGTATTTCAGTTAGACAGGCCCTCTTTCTGAGCTTCCCCTTTTCCATAGATTCCTATATTTCATGATTTCCACTTCTTCCTCTTCAGTTGTACAAACAGAGGTAGAGGCATGGGGAAATCGGGCTGCCACGGTGACATGCAAACCACAGGCTGTTAGCTGTGGGACTTGCAAGATCTGTCTGTTCTCTTAAATGTGTCTAAAGTTCTCTGGTGGGAAAAGAAGGACCCGGTAGTTCAGTTCTCTTTTCTGATGAACAACAGTGCATATGGTAGTGTAGCATAAATAATATTCTCTGTTCTCTGCATTAAACAGTACCCCCTCTGAATAGTGAAAAGGCCAAATACGTGTTTGTCGTATGCGTGTGAGTGCTCACATTGCTCTGATAGACACCGCTGTCGTCCCTAGTTTCACACTGCTTCCTGTGTCTCTGTTTCCTGTTTATCATGCTGTCATTTGTTTCATCAAAGTGTGAATGTGTGAGATGATCTTTATGGTTCTTCATCACTGACATCCTTAAACAGTGAGCCTGTTTTCCACCTTTGTATTCTTGTGATTGATAGCATGCTGCTTTGAAATAAAGGATCAGTATAGTCTACAATGTATAGATGAGTGAGAGCGGACGGATCTTATCTGATGTTTGGTGATTTTTCTCAGGCTGAATTCACAAAGAGCCCTGAAGTAAGAGGGGGACTTTTTGAAGTGTTGTTGCAGCATCCTTGTTAACATGAAGATGTTGCATTGTGCACTAATGCAGGTTTGCCATTGCAAAACCGTTTTTGCCCTAGGTATATTATGGTGCAGTTGCAGTGCTATTACATAGTGTCTAGCTCGACCAAGGATAAAGCCAGGACATATTACATTTTGGTTTCATGGCTGCACAAGAGTTTCATACTTTGAGTAAATTAACGATGTCTTTGGAAAATGAGCAAGTTTGTTTTTTCCCCGATAGGAAAACCACATAATATGATGGGCCTTATTCAGAGAGAAAAAATGGAAGTTAATAGAATCATTTTGCCAAAATAAAAGCCATAGCAAGACAACGAATAATAATAAGAAAAACACGCTTTATTCAGAATGAATTCCAATCAAACCAAACTAAATGAAAAAGAGCATTATTTAAAAGGTCAAATAAATGATCTGGCATTAAAAAAAAAGAGCTCAGTGAGGTAAAGTGGCCAAACATCTTTTGGAAACCTTCATTCATTCAGTAAGGACAGTCGAATAGGTCTTACAAGATAGTTTCTCCTTCCTATTATGTAGCCTTTCAGACCAGGCAAAGGCAACTTCAAGGCTACATCACAATGTTACAATAAGCAGCTCTATCTACTCTCATGTCACAGTATCAATATCACACTGATAATTGCCCATCTTTAGTATATAACATCATGCTCGTATTCTAAACCGTGGCCCCCCCCCCCCCCCCCCCTTGCCCTCTTTTCCAGCCTATAACATTAAAGTTGAGGCTCGCAGTGATGAGGAGAATGGGCTGTCCTGTGACATGAATGGCGTGGAGGAGGATGAGGAGTGCGCGGAAGACTTGCGCGTGATCGATGCCTCGGGGGCCAAGGTGAACGGCTCTCAGCCGAGCCCCGAAGCCAAGGCCTTCTCCTCGGCCGGTGGTATCCGGCTGCCCAACGGGAAGCTCAAGTGCGATATCTGTGGGATAGTTTGCATTGGGCCCAATGTGTTGATGGTGCACAAGCGGAGCCACACCGGTAAGCCACCTGCAATACTTCTTACCCTTCCTTTGCACCCATGTTCACTGTTAGAGAGGATGGATGAGGGGTAGAAGGTGTCTGCTGTGGCTCCCGCCCATATTTAGAGCATTTATTTAGATTTTAAATGGCAAGAAATAAGCTTAAAGTAGAGTAGAGGTGGTAGTTGTAATGGCATCCTTGCGTTTGGCTGTGTGCATGTACTGTAAACCCTCCTATCGTGCGTGAAATTGACTCTGAGCACACCATTAGCATTCATTATTGTTCATCTAAATGACTCTGAATTACCACATGACAAGAAACATTAACTGATCGAATTATTGTGCGATAAAATAACCCGGTCCGATAAAAAAAACATGCCCTCAGTTGAGAAACAGGATATCTGCAGCAATTAAATGGTATCTCTTTGAAGTGACAATTATCTGGCTATTAAAAGTTTTTCAAATTTCCAAATTGATATTCTATTGTAATGAAGCCAAAGCAGTGGTGGGGAACATTTTTGAAAAAGGCACTTAACTGTCAAGCTTCAGAAACTAATGAAACTCAAAATGGAAGAAAGGAACACTAGACTAATGTAAATGCAAAAGAAAGTACAATAAAAGATATAATGAAGTGCCTCCTATTTAAATCGAAAATATTCTGTGGTGAGTCTTTGCTCCTGAAATGCATTTTTAATGAATCTCCCTTTTTATATATTTTTGCTGCTTCACTGGTGACTCTTATTTTATGGGGGGCCTTTGAAAAAAAAGGCATATTAAAACGTTCTCACAGAATGCCACAACACTCAGAGAGGCTGGATATTGGTTTATTCCAGAAGCGCTGATCAGGAAGACTGGCTCTCAACACAAAGTGTTTCCTCCGCTTTATTCAAATGAGGCTGAATTTGCATTGTGATGTGCCGCTCTTATTTTAGAGACGAAGAAGAGGAAAAAATGAGATTTTCAGATCAAATTGACCTAGGCAATGGTGCATTACGGAACTGGCAGGCTGAGTCTGAAAGGCTCTTGTTCGATCAGAGCGCCAGGAGTCGGTGGGGCAGAGGGGAGCACGGAGAGAGAGAGAGTGTCACTCTGCAGGCTGCTGGATCGCCCCGGAGACGCTCCATCGTCCCGCTTGTTCTGCGCCCGGGATGCTTGTAGTGCAGTGACCCCGTATTCCTACAGCAGCAACACGCTTTCTCCCCCACATAGAGAAGACTTATTGTTGTCAGTGGAGGGATCAATCATAGTGAGGTTAGGGAGAGGGGTGCAATCATGAACTGCCTGGTAGGGTACATTAAAACACAATTGGGTGCCAGTAAAACATACAAGATGCTTTTTTCTGTGTGTTTTTCTGCCTCTTTACAGTAAAGTGGGTCTGTTGTGTTCTTGTCCTCAGGAGAGCGTCCGTTCCAGTGCAGCCAGTGCGGGGCCTCTTTCACCCAGAAGGGCAACCTGCTGCGTCACATCAAGCTGCACTCAGGGGAGAAACCCTTCAAGTGTCACATGTGCAGCTACGCCTGCCGCAGGAGGGACGCCCTCAGCGGACATCTACGCACCCACTCTGGTGAGCATGCAAACGCCACACAGACGCAGCAAACCCTCGTGGTAGTTCTAGGAACGCAGAGTGTCTTTTACAAAAGGCAGGACATGTTCTGCGGTGCATCCAGTGAGAGCTCGTATAAAGGGGAAGTTGACATGGTGTAGATATGGTGTCACTTTTTTTTGCAAATGTTTTGCAGAAGTATGTGTTAATGAAATGTTTGGATGTAAACAGTACACTGACAAAGCATTCACTAAAGAGAACGGGGAAGGGATAACCTGCAAAACTACCTTAACTGACAAATGAAGTGAGAAAAATAAAGTGAGCTATGATCACAGTGGTGGGTTATCCATGTAAAAATGTATGTTTTCTTTTTACTCTCTATAAATACCATGAAAGGCAGCAGTGTGTTGGTCTGTCTTGCACTGCTTTTCAACTTCCCTACTTGGTTTTTGACATTCAGCCCCAACCACATTCATTCCTACTAAAGGACATCTAAACGTAATTATTAACAGGTCGCAAAAATAGAATACCATTTTGTTTTTTAAAGGCTTAACAGTTTCCCTAAAACTGCAGGGCATGGTAGTTTTTTGGCAGATATTGCTCAAACTGGAGTAAATAGTGAATTTGTAGGGGACTACTTTCAGCAGTGGATTAATATGGATTTAGTGGAAGTTTTTTTAGTAGCAAACTCACTTTGGGATTGACTATACACCATACATAAAGTACATTTACATTCATCAGGTTCATTGTAATAATCAATATGTTACCAAGCCAAGTCACCCCATTTGTCCCACTCAAATTCTGATCAGATACTGTAAGGTTGTTTTTGTTGTACTATTTGTTATATCAAAAAAGAAATTGTATTATTCGACTGTTCATTTAGCGTTTCAATAGACTATATTTCACAACTTTGTATTCATATTTAGTTTAAAAGTCTTCTTTACAATATCAGGAATAAACCTCTGGTGGAAACAGTCAATCCCTTATATTTTGTATTTTGTAGGCGTAAAAACTTAAATTAAGAATACAGCTAATAAAATACCCGCTGTGAGTAAGAGAAGGAAAACGAAAACTTCCCCAAAGTAGCTTCCCAAAATGTCCCCCTAAAAACCCAGAGGACATGACATCAGTGACTTCAGTATTAGCTACAGCCGTGCCCATGCTTTACCAAGAAACGTGATATTATGTATTTGGGAAGATTTTGCTCTGGACTTCCCAAAGATCACGTGTCAATCAAACCATGTGGGCGTGCTGTGTCCTGTTCTATTTATTCCAATACATTTGGCAATGTAAAATCCATCACTTCCTATATTTTCCCGCAACCAAAAGGGGAATTTAATAGTAGATTGACTGTATGCTGAATCTTAACTATGTGACTACACCAAAATGTATTTCATTTAATTCACAATTACATTTTCCGCAGTTGGAAAACCCCACAAGTGTGCTTACTGTGGGCGGAGCTATAAGCAGCGGAGCTCTCTGGAAGAGCACAAGGAGAGGTGTCACAACTACCTGCAGTGCATGGGGCTGCAGAACAGCATCTACACAGGTTGGTGCCTCCAGAGACACACACACACACACACACACACACACTTCACTTTCACCCAAATCTGATGGCCTACTTTACCCTTAGTGCAGGACTCGCTATGCATGCAACAGCAGTGCACCATGAAGCTGTTACTAAATGCTCCTACAGGTCAAATAACTGTCGTTTTCATCTGAATATAAGATCATAACGTTTGTAATCTACTTAAAGTGATTGCAGATACTTAAGATAACGGAGTAATGTCTGCATTAAGTTCTCTATGTGTCCATTCAGAAGATATTGAATGCAAAGGGGGCTGTTACCCTCTGCATTGAAGCTTAGAAACACGTCTTTACCTCATCTATGAGCATGTACGCTGTATATTTATAGGCCAAGTGCTACGCATGTGTCAGAATAGTCCGCTCTGTGAAAAAAAAACACCATCAGACCACAAAATACCATCATGTGTTATCAGGCTATGGTTCACGCTTTTTAAAAACTCAAATTACTTTGACTGAAACCTGCTTCTCTGTCTTGCTTTCCAGTAGTAAAGGAAGAAAGCAACCAGAATGAGCAGAGGGAAGACTTAAGCCAGATGGGATCTGACAGAGCCTTGGTGCTAGACAGACTAACGAATAATGTAGCTAAGCGTAAGAGCACTATGCCACAGAAGTTTGTTGGTAAGGGCTGAATCTGCTTCCTTTGTGTACTATGGCTGCTTCTGCTGGATACTGTGTGTAACTGCTGCACCAATGAGAGATGTGCTTTCTGTTCATAATTCTGCATAAGGATTTTCACTACACAATGTAATGGCCAAAGTAATTTGCAATAGAAATATTATTATTATTATTATTATTTGTATAACGTTTTCATCTTTATCTTCTTCATCTTATTTAGCATTTTGTCTTTTTTTTAAAGAAAATATATTATATAAAAAAATGAAGGTGAAAACAGTCTGTGACGATAACTGTGTATATATAAAATGATTTAAGAGTCGCTGGGTTATTTGATGTTATTATCATATGTGTTTTATTAAAATGATGTTATTGTTTAAATATCACGGTAATTGCAAATAATGATATTTCATGACACCCCAATATTTAAATGTGTCCTTGCCATACTGGCTCTGCATGCTGTGTAACAGAAAATAAAATACATTTATTTTTTGTTTAGCCTGATACAAATTGTGAATAAAAATGTTTTCTGTTTATGAACCCTTAATTAAGACCCTCGTAACAAAAGAGGGAGAGAAGCAGAACAGGCTTAGGGAAATGCTAGAATGAAAACAGAAAAAAATATAACAGTGAGTCATTTCCAAACTCAGCTAGAGAGGAGCAGCCCCAGTATCAGATGATGAAGTAAAAGTAAATTATAAAACTCACCCTGTTCTCCTTTCTCTTCCTGGGCCCTCAGGGGACAAGCGTCTGTCGGACCTCTCCTACGACGGGGGTTCAGGCGAGCTGATCCAGCCCCATGTCATCGACCAGGCCATCAACAGCGCCATCAGCTACCTGGGGGCCGAGTCGCTGCGGCCCCTGGTGCAGACCTCCCCTGCCTCCTCGTCCGATGTGGGCCTCGGCTCCCTGTACCCTCTCCACAAGCCGGGGGCCGAGGGCCACGTGGGGGCCGGTCACAACCTGTCAGCCAAAGACAGCGCCGCCGAGAACCTGCTGCTCCTCTCCAAATCCAAATCAGCGTCCAGCGAGAAGGACGGCTCGCCCAGTCACAGCCAGGACTCCACGGACACCGAGAGCAACAACGAAGACCGCCCGGGGGGGGCCGCCTCGGGCCTCATCTACCTCACCAACCACATCACCTCGGGGGGGAGGAACGGCATGCTGGTGAAGGATGAGATGCAGAGGCAGTACGAGGCCATCAGGGCCGCCAGCATGGAGATGGCCTCCGAGGGCTTCAAGGTGGTGACGTCAGACGGGGAGCAGGTGAGGGCCCACCGCTGCGAACACTGCCGCGTGCTCTTCCTGGACCACGTCATGTACACCATCCACATGGGCTGCCACGGCTTCAGAGACCCCTTTGAGTGCAACCTGTGCGGCCACCGCAGCCAAGACCGGTACGAGTTCTCCTCACACATCACGCGAGGGGAGCACCGCTACTGAACACATCCACAGACAAACAGCTGTACACTGGAAAAACTGAAATGTTGACTATTATGAGAACATATTACACATGATCCAATTAGGCTAGTTAATAGCAATAACATTACGTTTAAATAGGTTCAATTTAAGATTATTGCTTTCATTTAACCTAATGCAATTATCTGTAATTCGTTTATATAATACGTTTAACTAAAGTCAATGTTGCAGTTTTTTCAGTGCATGCAGATCTGAAATACAAAATGTAAAATACACTGTTGAGTTCTGAAAGTTTTTTTTTTTATACAAAGTATGCATGTTTGTTGAACAAAGATAAATGTAAGTATATAAGATGTTTTTTTCCCTTTCCGTGTTCAAAAGGAATTTCTTGTGTCGTTTTTTTTAAAGAAACAAAATAATGTTCAGTGAAGGCAACACAGCGGGCACACATCCTGCATAGGTTTTTAAATTATGTACTTTTCAGTCGCCACATGTATATTATGTATAAATGTGTCTTTTCTTTTAAAAAAGCAAGACAGCAACATTTTTTTCTAATTTTAAAATAAAATAAAATGTATTTCCTTTTTTTCAGTACAACTCTGTTTACTGAAGTGGTCTGCAGTTTTAAATCCAGAAGAAATGTTTTAAATTAAAACAGGTGTAAAAATGAACCAATACAAAACCATCATTGTATATATCCCCACATTACATTTCAAAGTCTCAACCTGTTCCTGTATTGTAACAACCTGCATATTATTTATATCACATTTACACGCCTGTCTGTTTTTGTATTTATTGCAGTGATCAGTGTTTGTCTGTAGAGTAGTTAAGAAAAGCTGCATCTCTTTCTGTCCAACTGTACTTAATGTGACTGAGGTGAAAACATGACCGCTGCTGGAATTTATTTGGACTTTTATCCGAAGAAAATGTTACCCTGTTTTGTTTTGTATATGATGGCTAAGAAATGTTTCACTCACAATATGTAAATGAGTCATTTGAGGTTTGAAGGAGCTTTATGCTTGCAAAATATCAATAAAGGATATTTTATATATGCACTAAGAGTGGGGATGTGTTTTTTTAGTTTTTAGGACAAAGCACAAGGACGTTTCTAACGACTGCTTCGCTACCTGGTTTGGATCGCCTTAAATACTCTTAAATATGTTTTTAAAGGGGCCCTATCATGCTTATTTTCACATTTCATATTTGTATGTAGTGTCTCTACTGTGAAATGTCTCCTTGCTTTAATGTTCAAAAAGCTCTATATTTTTCTCATACTGCCTGTGCTGCAGCACCTCTTTTCACCCTCTGTCTGAAACCAGAGCCCAGTCTGCTCTGATTGGTTAGCTGGCTGGCTCTGTTGTGATTGGCCAACCGCTTGGAGATGTCCCGCCTCTTAACCTATCACGTACAATAAGTCGGAGCGCTAGCCAATTGAAGCGCGAGTGTTACATAGTGATGTCACTATGTCGCAGAAGTAAACAAAGTAGTACAATGGAGCCGTTTCAGGCAGGGGGGGGGGGGGGAGAGAAACTATATATACTATATAAAACACCCATTAATCCCTTTAATGGGATATTTTTTATTTTCTGGACTGTATTAACCAAGTGTCAAACAATATGGAAATGTCCACAGTAAACTGAAAGCTATTCCCGGAGTTATTAAAAGTTTCTCAGAGAAATCTGAAGACTTTGTTTCACACTCTTAAACCTTCTGAAATAATTAAGTTCAGATGTCATTCAAGATTCTGCTCACTCCTACCAGTCTAGGATGAGCCAAGTAAGAGTGATTGACTGGCATTTCAGTAAAAAAAAAGGAAAACTGTAGCAAGAGGTGAATAAATAAACACCCCATCACATACAATTACCTATTCGCAAAAGGATCTTATTTCTGTCAAATATTTATATTTTTTTCTAGCGTGTTTGTAGTTATAAATACTAAATTCAGACTATATAATCTTATAATTTAAGAATGGCAAACAGACAAACAACACATGGCTGAAATCTTAAGGTGTTTGTGCGCTCAGGGACCCTCGTGTTAAACTGTGCCATCAGGGGAGTACTGGTAGCATAAGCCGCACACGCACAGACACACACCAGCATGTGGACATGTGCCGTGTGTGTGTCCAGGACCTGAAGTGTGTGTCCTCTGAGGAGAGCTGGGACGGAGAGGATCAGGCACTGGAGCAGAAGGCAGGGGCCGGGGCTCTGAGGGCCCGGCCGGCCTGCAGAGGCTGGGCCGGGGCCGCAGGAGGAGCTCGGCGTGGTGAGCGGCGCAGCCCCGTCCAGATGGCTGTTGTGTGATTTAGCAGCAACGGGAAGCAGCTGTGGCCAGCGCTGAGCCCCCCACGCTTGACTGGGACCCAAAAGAGGAGGAGGGGGGGCCATTTGCATGAGAGGGATAATCTGGCCAACCAACTCGGGCCCTGCCAGGATCCCAAATCTCACTTCCCCTTTCAGCCAGCTGACTGACGGAAATACTCCTTCAAGAATCACACTTTCCAAATGTGCGGTCAACAGGATCCAACAAGAAAGTTGTTCACCCTCATAGAACGTGCCCTAATAATAAAAGGCTAGAATATACGCTACATCGCCTACTTTGTGAATTTGGTCACCGTTTCTACAATATGAGGCAAAATGGGTGCATCAAAACTTAGGTATAGTATTTACCCAGTGGTGGAAAGTAATTGAATACCCTCAACAGCTGTACTCAAGCACAACTCTGAAATACTTGTATTTGACTGAAGTATTTATTCTGCTCCATACATTTCATATCAGAATGAATGTCATTTATACTCCTCTACATTTATAAACAGCTAGTTACTGGTATGTTTCTGTAAATATTTGAAGTATTGAAGTTTGATCACAGAATCGTAATACTGTCTCAAGTAAATGTCCTACATTTAAGTTATTACTCAATTAAAACAAAAGTATAATAAATCAAATGTAATTAAAGTACCAACAAAACAAAGTTGAGATATCAGATATATAATAATCATAATCACTCAAATATGATATTCTTCACCAAAGGATAAGAGACATTTACAATAACCTTAAAGTTTAACTTATTTGATGATTATATTTCTATTATCAAATTGAACTTTCATGGTAAACAAAGTAGTTTAAAAATGTAGTTCAGTAAGAGGTTCAATATTTACCTCTGAATTGTAGTGAGTTATACATAGTAGAAGGAAATGTAAATACTTAAGTAAAGTACCTTAATATTGAACTTAAGTAGTTCTTGCGTTAAATTACTTAGTAACCGTCATTTGACCACTTCCAAAAAAAGCAGTGTGTGTTTCAGATGTCTCTGAGCAGTTACAACAAACATGTCCCCTCTGTGCGTGTCACATGGTTTCATTTGAACTGTTTGAGGCCCAAAGGGTAAAAGTATCTTACATTGAGCCAAAAAGCAAAAAAGATAAGGGGCAAACTTATAGTAAAGCCAAACAAACTCATGTTGGTTTGATAATAAATGTGAAATAAAAAAGTGTGAACGCTCCCTGATATCTTGCTGCACACCACTAGTGTTCTGTTATAGTGTTTGTAACACTGGATTGCATGTTGCTTCGTTTCCTATGGATCCATGGTTAGTCTTACAGTAAAAGTTGCCAATAGACCACCGCACATTGTGTGAATTTTTGTAATAGTTATTTATGACTTTTTAAATATTGCTACAATTTTTTTTTCAAATAATATAAAAAAATTCATGGAAATGTTAAGGGATGGCTATAACTTTAAATATTGTTTTTCTGAATAATACTGCTTGGTAAAATTCCAAAAAAGATTGTTTTTTTGTTCTTTTCCATTGTTTCTGAATGCCTTTTCCATCAGATTCTATGCCTGAAAAAGACAAAATAATATGATATCAAAATAGGCAATATAAAAAGTTCTTAAAACTAGGATTACAAATTTGAAAAACAAACATATGATAAAAGTTCATACCTCCGTTTCTCATAAACATATTGTGTGATGTTTGTGACCACAGCCAGTCAAACTGAGAAACAAGCGTCCACCATATGGGCAGTCTTCAGCCGTGCTCTGTGGATCCCAGCAGCACCAGAGGAATTCTGTGCATCTGTCCCGGTCCAGCTGTGGGCCGCCCCCCTGTTAAGAGATGCCCAACGTGTGTGTGTGTGTGTGTGTGTGTGTGTGTGTGACAAGTCTTTCACTGCTGGCTTATTCAACAAAGTTTCCATAGAGTGGCCAAACACACGTCTGAAATATTTATCAGCGACTTGACAAAAAGATGAAAAATAGCTTTTCATGGTCTTCCAGATTTTCAAAGATTGTTTCATGACATTTACATGAGAATTTCATTTGATGTGTGCACATTCTATAATGGTCCTGCTCGATATCACAGTGCATGACCAGTGAGGCATTCAACTTAAAAAGGATAAGAAAATCTGTTGACCACTTATTATTAACGATGAGTGGATTGCTGTTTATCAAAAAAGGATGTATTGCAGTGACAGATGTTCCTGCTGAGTCCACTGCTGTCTGAATCACCAACAGGAAGGGAGTCAAGCTTTCAGGTTTGTTTTTAAACTTAGGATACCTCTCTTGCACAACTTCTGTGGATATGATTAGCACATCCATTCTCAGGAAAACCACAGGTTGTAACATCGGGCAAAATATAAGAGATGTGTGAATAAAACTCAGATTAGAAGGGAAGTAGATCAAGTGCAGAGATGCAACAAAGTATTGGAAACTTCATATTTATGCGTTTCAATTCTCCGACATGGACAAAGGTGTATAGGATGGCAACATTTTTATTTATTAGGAAAAAAATACAATTTTGGCAATTCAATTAAGAATCAAACTAAAACAATTCATTCAGTCATGAAACGCAGTATATGAGAGAGGTGAGAATATCTATTGGGATGGTTATTAAAAATGCTGAATGTTTATCCTCACAGCATTACAAAAATGATACTAATACAATATATCTTCATGCCTTCAGCACATCACACAGCAACAGTGAAATAAATATCCAAACAAACCAGAGGATAATGCAGTAACAAACAGCTGGGAACAATTGAAGAGCGATTTCTTCATACAGAAAAGTCTTTCATCCCATCAGCACTAAGATCACTGATAACTGGATTTGTTTTGCAACAGCGTTTTGGTCGGAACGAACATTAAATGGTTCGCAAAACATCGGGATGGTTGGAAAAATATTAATTCAATCAAAAGGAATTTTTGGACATACTAACAGAAACACCTCAATGTAATGACAGAAATCCCTGCATTAAAATAACGATCTTTGTGAACAATTTCACAAAGTGCACATGCTATTATCTCTGCCCAATTTGTGCTTTTGTATAGATTCCTCCAGAGCTGAAATCAAAAACTCAGTTCAAAATAAAATCCTCAATTTGAACAACAATCAGGATAAGCAGCCACGCTTAACGTCCACATCCGAAGGTCTTGTTCCACTCCTCAAACAGCTCCAAGTCTTTCGATGAGACACTGGGCCGTACGGTCTGCAGGGCGTCCTGGAAGTCTCTGTATTGGATGGGTCTCACCTGGTCTGCAGTGATGGTGGCGATGTCACTGAGCTGGATGCTGCGGATGGGCCCGAGCGCCGCCTCTCTGCAGAGCTGCGTCATGTCGGCGCCTGAGAAGCCCTCTGTGGCAGCAACCACGCTGTCCAGCTCCGGCTCCCTCAGCTGGTTCTTCTCTTGGGTCATGAGGTTAGTGATGATCTGCCGCCGGGCCGTTCCCTCGGGCAGGGGGATGTATAACCTCTTGGCCAGGCGTCTCCGGGCAGCCTCGTCTATCTCTTGAGGCCGGTTGGTGGCGCCCACCACCAGGATGCGATCCTCGGCTGACGTCGTTGCTCCGTCCAGCTGAACCAGGAACTCTGTTTTTATCCTGCGTGAGGAGTCGTGCTCCCCGTCCGTCCGCTGGGACAACAGCGAGTCGATCTCATCGATGAAGATGACAGCAGGCTGGTGGCAGCGGGCGATGGAAAAGAGGGCTCGCACCATTTTCTCTCCCTCACCCACCCACTTGGATGTGAGCGATGAAGCGCTGATGCTAAAGAAGGTGGCCCCTGACTGGCAGGCTATGCATTTCCCTATCAGAGTTTTTCCAGTCCCCGGGGGTCCGAACAGGAGGATGCCTTTAGGTGGACCCCGGAGACCAGTGAAGATGTCAGGTCGCAGCATGGGCCAAACTACAATCTCCTTTATGGTGGTCTTGGCGAACTCCAGGCCTGCAATGTCCTCCCAGACGACAGGAGGCCCGTGGTCCATGATCTCACTCATGATCAGCTCAATTATCTTCGGCTCAAAGTTTTTCAGACGCTCGTCCACGATCTGAGGTTCCTGATTGGAATTACCGTTTGACCCTCCTTCTTCCTCCTCCTGTCGGGGAATGGGTGACACAAATTTGGAAAATGTACCCCGCGGCCTGTTGGCTCCTAGAGATTTCTTCACAGCTGCTGCCGGCCAGGAGGCCTGACCTCTCTGCGCCTGGTTGGAGTGTTTTTTCTGTTGCTCAACAATGAACTGCTCGCGAGCCGTTTTAAAGTTGCTTCCAGCTCGCGGGTCACTGCCTGCTTGACCTCCCTGCTGACCCCTGCCACCATCCCCTCTGTCTGTGTTGTAAAAGTTCTTCCGCTTAGATGTGTTGGAGTTGGGTAAGTAGGAGGACTGATAGTTTTGTGTTCCCCCTGCAGGGCCAGGGTTTCCCTGGGGAAGAGCTGAGGAAGAGTGAGTAAACACAGACTGTGGTCGAGCTGGAGGACGGGAGAATGAGTTTGGATTACTGGCACTGGTGTTAACCTCTGCTTTAGGCTGGGGTGGAACTGTAGGTTTGAACAATGCAGTGTCTGAGCGGTCCCCAGTAAAAGCAGCGGGTAGGGAGCTGCCTCTGCTCTCTTGCCCCACAGATATGTTTACATCTCCTGCTGCCACCAGGGAGCCCCCTCCCCCCTTCCCTGCCTGAATCATCCTCTGCACGCAGGGCAGCTCCAGCACACTCTCCATGGTGAGGAACGACTCCCATTTGTCACTGTGGTTCCTCTGACTGCGAGCCAGGTGCAGAGCGCTGTCTGCATAGTTGTTCAGCCCTGTGCAGGGGTCATCTGAGTCCAGCACTGCGGCGTAGCGCTCCGAGTAGGTCCTGAGCAGGCTGTCCATGCCGGCCTGAGAGAGCTGGGAGCTTGCCCATGCATACTGAATGGAGAGGATGTGGGCCCGGTAGGCATCGGCCGTCTGTTCAGGTGTACAGTTGCCAGATGAAATGTCAAAGGACCTCCTCTGCCATTCGTCCAGGTGTGCTCCACTCATGCCTGGCCTGCTCCAGTCTGATGAGGGAGAGGGGACAAAAGTTATTAAAAATATATGACCTCAGTAAAAGCCAAGGTACAGATCCTGCCTGATCCTGCCTGACCCCCCCCCCCCCCCCCCCACACACACACACACACACACCTCATTAGAATACATTATGTGATATGCACAGACCTATAATACAGGGACAAGTTGATTTAAATGCCAATAACTTTGGTAACTCACAAGAACAGATAAAAAAAACATGGTGGTAAATACCTGTCTTTGCAACGCCACACTTGTTGTTTTAAGCATGCTTAATCTCCATAACCAAGCTCAGATAACCTCTAAACATAAAGGTTTTTTTTTTTTTACTAACCTTAAATAGTTCATTAGAATAGGTCAAATTGGTGGAACGCCCCTTTGACTACATGCAGCTACGCAAAATATCTAATTTGATAAACATGCAGCTCTACCATTGACTGTATGTATAAAGAGCTGTACTGGAGATGCGTTCACTGACCAAGGCTTCTGCAGTATCATTTAAATTCATGATAGCATTCATTCAAATGACAAGTTAAAACCTAGCAGTCCCCATGACATGCAGTTATAAACAGTGTGTAGACGGGTCCTTTTGATATACAGAATACAAGCGTTTAGTGAAAATACACACGACAAAACAATACATTGGAATGAAGGACGACACTTACTAAATTGTAAATCTTCTGATATTACGATAAAAGTGTGTGTTATAATACAAACACAAGGTGTATAATAATGTAAACGTGCTGAAAGCTGTTGTACTTTAACTGCAGTTTAGTTTTTCGCGCCACCAGTTGCTTCCTCATCAGTACGACTTCCTGTTTCGTTCCAATTCGTTCTTGGAGAACCTAAACTAGTCTTTCAGCATCGCTCTTGCCTAAATTATAAAACTAGTCCAAATTAAACAAACGCTTGTAGTTATTACATTGACAAACGTCGATTTATGGTGAAACTATGAGAATATAAACAGCTACATTTAAGCAAATACCTCATTTGAAAATATCGGAACGGGGCCCATAACTTGTCACAACTAGGAGTGCTCCATTTATCCCCCAGGTTCTCCCAGAGAGTGGGTAGCATCCGTTTAGTGTTACTATGCCGCTCTACCAAGCACCACATAACGCTTTTTGACTCGTGACAAAAACAATAAACAAGGAGACAATCTTACCCAGAGTTATAATCCTTCTCTGGAAGTTTTGAAACTTATTTTATCCGGACTGTAGTTTCAACAGGAGGTACCGACCGCAATAAAAATGTTTAGAGGTCTACAATGCCATCGTGTGGCCATAACACGCAAAAATAAATGCAATAATGATAATATTGTCGCTTTATCGTCCTGCATTCTGGGAAATGTAGTACCGGCTTTGTTGAAAATCAGTTGGACAATAAAATCCGACTTACATTATTTTGAAGAAATCTGAATTTTACGCACAATTTTTAGCAGACGGTGTTAATTAACTTTTTTTTGTGCATAATAAGTAAATACATATGAATGAGTCTTGATATAATTGGACTCGTAAACTACACCTACCACAACCGGGCAGCTTTTTGTTTATGCTGTCGACAGCGGATGACAGCGACTTCTAAGCTTCAGTGAAAACGCCGCCGTTGTCTTCTTACATCCATGCCGTGGGAGTAATATGCTGCGTTTGTGATATTGTGAAACTAACTATGTAATAAGTTCATGTTTTGCACTATTTATTATAAAGGCCTTTGTCTTTGAGAAGGGGTACGGGAAACGTTTCCTGGATAGCTGTTCATAGCAGTCGCAGTCCGTTAGCTAAAGCTAAACCGGAGACGGGATCTTAATTAATCCAGACGGGACCAGCCCCAGGAGCCGCAAGCAGCAGTCAGTCACACCCTGGTCTGGGGTGAGGAGCCCTGTCTGCGCAGCAACCTCAAACTACTCTCCATCACATGTGACGATGTTTTATACTTCCCATTAGCCTCAGGCTTCTTCTGCGGGGGCTTCGGAACAATATTGTGAGTTAACTGGAAAGAGTGGACTGGATATGACTGACTCATCGTCATGGCACGGACAGAGGAGATAACCCCGAACAGTCTGTCTGCTGCAGTGCCAACCAGACAGCATCACAACTAGCCACCCAGCTAAGTTATTTACACATTCAATCGTTTTTAGTAGTTACTTCCCCTCAGCGTGGCATTATAAATACCACCATGTATACGTTTGTTACCCGTGACGAGAACAGCACTGTTTATGCAGAAGTTTCCAAAATCCTCCTCTCTTCCGGACAATGGAAGAGGCTGAAAAGAGACAATCCCAGATTCAACTTGATGCTTGGTGAACGCAACAGACTGCCTTTTGGACGTCTGGGTAAATATGCTTTTTTCTTATTTCATATGATGGTGACATGTGTGTGCTATATTTGGTGTCCACCCACAGTTGCAGATGACACAGCTGCTGTGACTGTGCGGCACTTCCTGCTCCAGCTTCCTGTGGGAATGTTGTGATGTGCAGTCAAAGACACACGACTATTTTAATGCATTTTAAAGTATCCTGTCTTGGACTTCACAGGTCATGAACCAGGCCTGGTACAGCTGGTCAATTACTACAGGGGAGCAGACAAGCTTTGCAGGAAGGCATCCTTAGTCAAGTCAGTAGCATTTTTCTAATTCATTAATGTACTTTTGTGCAAATGAATTATTCAAATGGCGTTGCATTCACTGACCACTTCCTCTCTTTACCATTAGGCTTATAAAGACGAGCCCAGAGCTGTCAGACTCCTCTAACTGGTTCCCAGAGTCCTACATCATCTATCCCACTAACCTCAAAACCCCTGTGGCTCCAGCTACCAATGGCATCAGCCACCTGAAGAGCAATCCCAAAACGGATGAGCGGGAAGTTTTCTTGGCGTCCTATCACTCTAAAAAAGAAAGTGGGGAGGGCACAGTGTGGATAGCCAAGTCTTCTTCTGGAGCTAAAGGTAAAACCTTAATCCATGTTTATACATTTGTTGGTAATAGTAAACCCTATAAATACTTTTTTCTTCAGTGTCTTTTAAAATAATATCAAAGAGGATCAAATGGATAACATACTTTCTCAGAGGTATTTGGAAGAGCCTTTTTCCTAGGAATAATACTCATACGATTAGATACTTTTAATGAGTTTCTTCACAACATCATACAATAATTCCACCAGAGATGTTAACAAGTTTCCTGGAAATATGCCATTCAGCATTAAAAAAGGCAACCATACATTTTCTGTTAATAAATCCTCCTTGTTGGGGACAATATTGTTCAAAGTTTAAAATTGTGTAAAATATCATCAATGACAACTTCTTTTTTGTATTGCCATAGGTGCTGGTATTTTAATTTCCACTGATGCTAATCAGCTGCTGGAGTACATTGATAATCAGGGACAGGTTCATGTTATTCAGAAGTACCTGGAGAAGCCTCTGCTTCTGCAGCCGGGAAATCGGAAGTTTGACATCAGGTAGGTCTATTGTGTATAACTAACCCACTGATAATATGCTAGTCTGGCTGGGCTTTCTTACTAATAGCTGTTATGTTGTGCTATTGCTAGGAGCTGGGTGCTAGTGGACCATCAGTACAACATCTATCTATACCGGGAGGGCGTGTTGCGGACGTCCTCAGAGCCTTACAACAGCTCCGACCTGCAGGACATGACCAGCCACCTGACCAACCACTGCATCCAGATGGAACACTCCCAGAACTACGGGCGCTACGAGGAGGGGAACGAGATGTTCTTCGATGAGTTCAGGCTGTACCTGCTGAACACTCACAACGTCACGCTGGAGACCTCCATATTACCTCAGATCAAGCAGATCATCAAGTAGGTCCTGCTTGTTTTTCCTTTTTCTTTTTCGATCTCATACTGTAGCCCATCGTAAATTCAAAAACGTACACATTTGTATTGTTTTTATTTTGTGTTGTTCGCCAAGCGTTTCTACTGACATTTCACCGAGTTGTCTAATCAAGTCTGTCCTAGTTGACAGTGAGTGTAAATAACCTTCTTATTGTGCAAGTCACTTGTTTTTCAAATAAACTTTACTCTTATAGATGACTGGGTTTAAAAGAGAGATGACACTGTTTGTTAGAGGACATTTAGCAATTGTGAAAGCCACTGATTTCAGCTTGTAAAATAAAGAGATCGTAACTGCTCTATGGCATTTAATAATGGTGGTGCATTTCTTCTGAGGCACTTTAGTCAGATTTGAATCTAAGTCACGTGTTACAACTATGGAAATGTGACTTTGGTATCCATGAAATCCCAGCTACCATCCCTTAGGAAAGAACCCTTTATGTGGATATCCCATCGGTGCTGATGTGATGTGAAGTCAACTGAAGCAATGAACTCCTCAGTGCGTGCTATAATGGCTGAGACAGCTGAGTCCTCCTGCTTGCAGTGGCAGTGCCTACATGTACCAGGATGCATTGCGCACAAGCTTCTAATGCTTGGAGCATCTTCATGGACCATTTCCTCTTGCTCAGCTAATGCAGCCTCGGCCTCTCCCTGCTGTGTGCTCATCCATAAGATCAGCTGCACTCATCTTGGGATGCCGATGTTGCTGTGATGTAATACCTTTTCAGTACAGGCTAAGAGAACAGAACAGTTCTGCTTCTGAGCGGCATTAGAAAACAGCAGAAACTAGAATCCAAGTGGAACTAGCCTGCCTTGCAAGAGAGGCCCTATTATGCTTTTGGGGGCTTTCCCTTTCATGTAGTGTGTTATATAGGTTTTTGTTCATGTAAATGTTCATGGACTCCATTGTTTACTTATACATCACTATGTAATACACGTGCTTCTATTGGCTAGCGCTCAAACACATTGTACATGATTACCTGCAACGTTTTTGATGAATTATAGAAGATGTTTAGCACAAAGATGTGTACATGTTTGTCAAACAGTCAGATGATGTGAAATGATTTGATGTCTGGTTCAACAGGAGCTGTCTGACATGCATCGAGCCGTCAATCAGCACCAAGCACCTGTCCTACCAGAGCTTCCAACTCTTCGGGTTTGACTTCATGGTGGACGAGAGCTTCAAAGTGTGGCTCATTGAGATCAACGGAGCTCCAGCCTGTGCACAGTCAGTAACATTCAGCAGATGTCCCTGTATCCCCTCCAGATGGACTTGTCTAAACATCTAAAATTCTTAAGGCCTTGCAATCATACATTTATTCCTGCAATCAACTTTTAACATGTTTTTGTGGATTCATTTTACAAATAGGGGGAAAGAAGCTTAGAATCTATTCCCCTTATTTCGTCAATATTTACTAAGTAAAGTTGGAATATTATTCACTTTTTTTGTTGTTTTCCTCCCATTTAGGGTGGCCATAGTTGCAATGTTGCTCTTCATTAGTTAGTTTTTTGGAACAGTGACTCATCAATATTCTTGAATGCAAATGTGTCAGATATGTGTTAGTACCAGTGGCGTTTTTATATGTACAATAGTGGTGGGGCACGAACAACTTAGATGTGTATATAAGCTTCTGGTGCTTTTTTAAACAAGTAAACAAATAGCTGTAGGCTATCCATGGTTCCGATAGTGCCGCACACATTGAATAGAAAAATACTCTGAGCATGCGCAGTGTAGTTTTTACAGTACACGTTCATTTTAACAGCAGAGAGAGGGGCTTGCCCCACATCACTCAACACGGCTCAATAGGCACACTGTAGACACTAATTGGAAGAACGCAGACTAAAACGGCAATGTACAGACGAATCAGATTACTAAACATGATCTTAAAATATATTTTAACATGTATTTTTTTTTTTCATGGAATTATTATTTGCATTACTTTCTGCTGACACTAGGTGGGGCTGTGCCTTCATGCCTGGCCCTGACTTTTTTCAGTTTTGCTTGTTAAAGTTTCCTATTGATTACATTTAGCAATGTAAAAGTCTGAAGGCACTGTTGACACTCCTGTCCCCCCCCCCTGCCCCCCGCCCCTCTAGGAAACTGTAT